AATACATGAAAATCCTGTCAGACGTGGTAAGTCGGAGATTATGTTAACTTAGTTGGGAACAGAACGCAACCCATAATCCCATTTTAGCTTCAGATGAGAGAGGTCTTAAGGAAAACGGTCCATGTGATTGAAATGGCATAGGCTGACGTCAACTTCCCATGAAGTGACACCTAAGATGAAGTGTCACAATAAGAGACACACGACAGCTATTCCAGAAATGCTTTGACAATTGCTGAACACGGAACGAAATGACATAAAGCTTATGGCGATAGCCGCTAGCAACTATGTGCTGTGTTTAACAATCAGCTTACGTTACATGCATGATGATCCAAAAGTGGAACGTACGGATTGGGGGTACACCAAAGTAACTCTTCAAATCAAATACGGACTAACTGAACAAATGTGTCGTTTCCGGCTTCAACTCGAAAGCATTCTCAGCTGAATTTCCATGCCGCATTCCAAGACAAGTGATGGGTTTTCCAAATAACGGCAATCAAAGCTTAAACATTAGGTCAAGTGTTGCTCGCGGAGCTCAATGGCCTGGTGATTGTGACGGTATGCGTCAACAAATCTATGATAAGTTCTAATCAATATCAGTGGCATGTATTCATGATTAACCAAACAAGGGAGAAACACAACGTGGAGTGCACGATTGGAAAGAACAGAATCGAAGACCGCTCTATTGGACATGAACTAGTGGTTGAAATGTTTATTCCTGACTTCAGGTCACTGGAAGCCACTGTTGAGTTTACGTGCCGCAATACAACAAAATGGTGGATGCTTCAAATACTGACAAGCAAATACTGACCACTGCCTCCAGCGCTGCTAGCGGCCCTCATTGGACAACTAATCATGGCATCAGCCGTCAAGAAGTATGATCCGAGCTACGACGCCAGCAAGGATATCTCTACCTGATGGGTTCACTCAAGTACGAAAAGCATCATGGAGTGCAGGGATGGAATAATTTAATCCAAAACATCCATTTCGGTTACCCTCTTAGTGAACGATGTCAGAAGCTAACTTCGCCTCAACCGAATTCTCAAGCATGATAGTGCTTCGCATTCTAATACACAACGGGTGCTATATAACCCGACATACCATGTTAGTTGCAGTGTCAAGTGCTGCTCGCGGAGGTCAGTGGCCTAGGCGCATTCTCTCACTATATTTTGAAAGAAATGATTACAAAATGCGTCGTTGCTTACAGGATGTAGGTGTTTGCAATACCGAAATCCCCAAATTGGCGATTTTCCGCCTGGCAAGCGTACTTCCATAAAATTTACAATAAAAGTGTCCTCCTGCGTTATTCGAAATAAAGCTTTAGAATTATTCTCACAGAGACCTACGTACTATCATTCGATTTGGCTCCGCAAGCTTACCCTACCACTGTTCATCTATTGGATCTATCATCCGCGGATCACCAGCAAACTGTGCTCTTCCAACTTCGGAGTCAGCCGTAGTTGCGCCCTATCAGAGGATTGATTTTTTCTCTCGTCACAAAACAACTCTTATGGTCTTAATTTAAAGCTCTTTTTGGGAGGCACCCGATCAGCCTACTACCATTCCTTCAAGTTGCTGTACAAAGCAATAATCGTCAAATTGGTACGTCCTTGGAACAGCCACTGTCGTCATTAGACAGTATTTTCCAAGTCAGTTGCTTTAATTCAATCCTACGCTGCAATCGCTGCCTATCCATTTACCGGCTGGATCGATAGCACGCACGTCGCCTGTCTACCCTAATGCAAGTTTGACGCATCTGGACACCACACGCCTGACCCCCTTGACCTCAAACCAGCGCCGATGGCCACGCAACAAAAGGTGAAACGAAGTCAAATACGATGCGTCCGTATATCTGTCCTCTTGCTTCCTCTTAAAACAGCACGCGTACCGTGAACATGTCTCGCATGAAGAGCAAATGCGAACCAAGTGATAAAGTGGTAAAAGTGGTCTGGTGTGTACCGCGTGTTGGAACTCCTATCACACTACCTGCCTTGGGATGAGATCGACAAAAACGAACCCGGTGGAGGCGTTTTGGTTCTGCCATGTATTCAATTCTATCCCATTTGTTAGCTGTCTAGCTGTGCTACTGAACAGCTGTGAAAGGCTAACAGAAGCGTTCGAGTAACTGGTGAACGCCAGAGTTTCACCCATGGGAGGAAACGGACCCGCAATGTGAGTGCAAAACCCCGAATTCCCTAGTCAGACCGAAGAAGCGAACCAGGCGTCCCAACCTAACCCCAACGACTAAGCCTCTAACAGTATCAACTCCATTCTCTCTCCCACCTATAAGTAAAAAAACATTGCATGCAGCGCGTCTTCCTCAACTTCTGTACGGTGGGCTGCACTTAGTAGTCTGTTCGCTACACACGAGACCGTAAGCTACAGTCAACCGGTTATAGTGAACAACCCGGCTACGTACGCATCGGTTGTCGCCAAGCAAACACCGGAAAGAGCACCGGTAACATTTGTGCCCGGACTAGGGAAAATAAATCTGTCGCAGCACGGATGTCACTCATCAGTGCCGTTCACAACTTCACCAAAAACACCGGATGCTAGGCCTCCAAATCCAAAACCAGTAGCCACCAGGCGCAACCATGGTGCCCTAAACTTAGTGTGCACCAAATTCCCCGAATCCAAATACAATCCAATTAAGGGTAGGTTGACGGACGATTGAAATCAATGGGTTCCATCTGTACGTCGATCGGTGTCCATGCTAATCCCAGGACATTAAAAGGAATTTCGCGTCACCCTAACACGTTGCACTACGGTGTACCCCGTTTACTTCGGGTAACACTAAACTCGGCGGACGAGACTGAAGCTGTTCTGCTGTCTGCGAATCGTCTCAGCAACGACTCAAGTGGAGCGCTCATACTACCTGAAATCCCGTGGAAAGAACGTTCAGTGGATCCCGCTAAACAAGACAGGTACAGAAAAAGTCAAGATAAACAAACAGGGATTGCTGACGATGTTCCCGAGCTTACTGACTCCTCTTCCGACGATGCTCAGATGCACGACCGCGAGCAATGGCACTACATCCGGGAGGCATTTTCTCTCAAAAATGTCGTGGGCACCTCCTTGACAAGGATCCCAATATCACCAAACTATAAAGGATGAGGCCCCAGGCTCTTAAAACTTGTGTTACCATCAGAACTAACGGCACAAACCTTATTAAAGAACTGGACTAAATTTCGTTGCAGATTGCCAACTGAAATTCGGCTGAAAGCAGCAGGAACACCAGCAACTTCTTGTGACAATTCAGTAGATGCACAACTCATAATGAAAACACCAACTGCAGGACCTGACTCGGGGAGGTTTCAGCAGTAGTAATAATATCCGGAGGGGCACAGCAGAGCATGAGCAAACACCGGGATCCTGGGCCATCTGATACTTGACTACATATCAAATTCGTCTCAAGAGTCTGCAATCCATCCAAAAAACAATTAGTCACCGACCCTTTATTGGTCGGAGTAAACTATCTTCCTTCACGCATCCAATCTAACACACTTTTGGTCTCCGAGAAGCTCTCAGGCATGTTCCCAAATGCCCAAGGTATACAAAGCAAATTAGCTGAATTAAGACTTAGAAACGCGTTAGCAGCTTGGGACCTCATCGCTGTCAACGAAACGTGGTTGCGCGGTGAGATAACGGATGCTGAATTCGCGCTATCGAGCATGTTGGAACTAATGCACAACAAACGGTGGATAGTGCCATAACCCTACTTGTGAATGAGTCACTCCAAACCCCTTGCACACCATTTGATAAACGCTACTACTATGGAAACTGGGTTTCTGTATCCCGTCCAATCAAGATAATTGCACACTAGTAAGCCTAGTCCTTACTATTTTTTATTTGTTTCTTGCCTATTACATGATCAGTAACCACTTCCATTATTGCGTTTTATGCGTACATTCTCATTTCAAACTCCCTTTATACGGCAGTGCAGTTAAATCTGTAATCGCCCGAACTGACGACTCCATTATCCCTTGATCTATCTTTTCTCACTCTAAACACTCTATGGGACAAGTCAATCACCTGCGTTTTTACCCGTTATAAATCATTGTTCATGGTTCATAATTGCTCATTTGTTTAACTACACTGTAACGTGTCGGATGTAGCTAGACCTAAATAAGGCAACTGTTCCTTACGTCTTCAAACCATCTTACTTAAACTACGGACGTGGTTCATCCATGTTAAAGAATTCATTTGGCCATTTTGCTCTCCGTCGATCTGACAGACTAACGACAAATATAGCAGCACCAACACGTACACATACCTACCATATGTATTCATACAACATAAATTCTCTGTAACCGGTAAAGTTGTGACATTCCTGTACATTTACAGATTATTCGTGTTACTTTACCTTGATAATGCCTACGGAGCTTACCTTGCGTTGTCAGGAAAATTGCACCTATTTGTAAAGTTATTTATTACTGGAAATAACAGAGGCTAAACTCCTGGTAAACTGAGATTGCCTGTCACTATCTAAGATACAATGGAAACGCATGAAAATTCGAGAATAAACGTTTCAATATGTGGAAAACGATGGTAAGAGAGCTAAATATTTTCGTGATAATGTCGATGACCCCTAAGCACTCTATGCGAAGGTTACATTCAAATCGGTGTATATCTACCTGACGCTTCCACAAGAGACGAAACGTGTAGTGGACAGAAGGGATTGGAGAGAACAAAACTGAAGCCCAACCCTGCGGTCAAGATTCTTGTAACCGCAACAGTTTGTGCTAAATCCAATGTCAACAGAATGCACAATTGCGATTGTGTGTCGCAACCCACGATATATGGTAATTTCTCCAAAGACTAACAAATAAAGGCTAATTTGCAGTCTATCACTAGGCATTCGCTCAACCTACCATAGATTCGTTTGTCGGTTGCTTACTCGCATGAATTCTAGTAATATTTAGTTCTCAGGAATCATCAAGACTGGTGTTTATGAGTGTGCACGTTTAACCATATGGAGGAAATCAAGAAGACAGTGCCGAAACCCAATTATAATCTCAAACGCATTTGTAAAATACAAGTGAATTTTAAAGTGACACCATGTTTGTGAACGGATCCAAATAATTTTCCAGGCGGTTCTGAAAGGCAATTATAGAGCGTTATTTTGATTACAGTAACAATAACGAAGTTATCAGAAAATTGTTTGGATTCTACCAGACTACGTTTATAGACGTGTACACCTTAATTTTATTTTATTTCTTAAATCGCATCCATTGTTTTAATTCATTTATAAGTCAGTACCTAAGAGGCTTTTGAATTTATCTTTATATTAGACAGGAGAGTGACAATCATACGGAAGGTTATGTTGCAGTTTTACGGCCAGTCTTTTAGGAAATGTCGAGTTTTTATTACACAGTTGTAGCGCATGTGCAAACAATTATGCTTAACTCTAATCAAAGTTAAAACTGAATTACAAGAGTTGATGATATAATGAAATGAATAATAACATAAAAGTTATGACCAAATACAAGTGCAACTTAACATATAAGTAGTCAGTAGTTTTCTCGCGTCTCTATATCATGACTTATTGAGCCCTCGTGTGAATTTTCACTAGTGAAGAGCTTAGTGCGAGCGGTTACTTGAAAGGCATGATGTTGCACTTTCTCAACAGTTGAGCTTATCTTGTCCACTGGAGTCAAACTACTTGGATTGTTACTTAACGCTCGAAGACCATTCAGTGCACACACTTCTATGGTTGTCTGCATAGAGCTTATGAGAATTTTCCCTTCCGGGTTTCACGAGTGCCTGTAATATACTACTTCTACGGTGTTGGTTTTTGAATATGACCCACGCAGAACTGTGTCGAGCTGCAGACGTCACCCGTAACATAGTTCACCCGCTGTAGAGTTTTAGAAAGTGTCTTGACTGAGAAAGGCCTCCTCGACATCTCCTATTGCTTCCTCCTTGAGGCCAATTCAATAAGTCTCGTAGTTCCGATAAGTGTTCAATCGAAAAATTTCTTAACCAATCACAGCTTTCGTCAGGCTTTTCTCACTAAAATGAGATATTTACTTTGCTGAAGAACAGCATTTCCTGGGTTTTGTTTAAAATCCTCCGTGTCCAAAGTATGAGTTTCGCTACCTAAGCCAATATTTTTCATATTAAAAGACAAGTCAATTTCTTAGTCAAATCAACCAGTTGGATCAAATGCATTAAGGGAAAAGCACCTAACCCAAACTCGCTGGTCCCCGATGAAAGCAGACGACATGCTCTTGATCGACCTCTGATCATATTGGATGCCCTTCGACGCAATAAGGAAAATTCAGCTGAGAGGATATTTGATTACAAGGCCTTTTTACAATGTCCGATTTTCCCCATGTTTGACGACGCTGAACAGCAAATATATCCCATTTATGCTTTACGCCTTGGTAAGATGCAAAAAGACCCTTACTCAGCTCGTCCCGCGAAAGGTTATCTGTCAAACTGAGTACGATCGTCACCGAATTCTCAGACTAACTTTCCGTCCCAGGGGAAAAACTTCTGCATCCTAAGGGATTCTTTCTCAGAGGACCGAGTCAAATTGAAGAGAACTGTCAAGAATCTACGTTCCCGCAGAACATACGGAGAAATCAACCTCTATATTGCGTGTTTTCCTGCAGTCCAAACGTTTGAATACTCACTGTAGACCAATCCTCATGATTCCAGGAATCTATGATCGATTGAAGGATTACGCGTGACTTGTACGAATGTGCATAAGAAACAAGCCGGCTGAGACGCATCTCTTCAACGCACAGCATCGCCCGGATTTGTTGCATTTCACTGGCGCCTAGTTGTTTTCGAACATCTGCTACCAGGAGGAGCGCATCTAAGGAGTTCTCGTTGATTGAGCTAATCGTACTGATGCTAGACCTGGAGGCGGTGTTATGCTTTACTGCAAAACAGAATTCAGAGAATATATTGTGGAGAGTATCAGTGACAGTGTCAGTGAAGTCTACTGGTGTCAATTTCACGACCAATGCAGGTCGCCCATTGGGTTCATAAAACCTACTTTGACTTGTGTTGTCTACATAGCCCTATTGAGATCAGAATCCTGATTGTTGAACACCGTAGGGAAGTACGGAAGAGGCAAGAACTATCCAGTTATGGCGGCTTCAGTGTTCAAGTGTTGTTTGTGATCTGGACCACAGTGATCTCCCTAACCATCCTTTTGACAATACTTTCTTGGAAAAGGCCTTGGGGGTTAACCTGATTTACCTTGTTTCTACACCTACTCGGATACTTCTGGGCCAGCAGCCACAGATCCACGACCTAGTGCTTCCGCCTGCAATCACTGATGTCTCCAACTTCACGGCTAGGCAGCTGTTTGGTAAAAATGATCATTGTCTTGTATCCTTTAGGTTGATGCAGTGCCTCACTGTTAACCACAAACAAGAGTAGCATCGGAATTTCTGGTGTGCCGATCTGTCAATTCTAAGATCAGCTGCAAGCGTACTAGACTGAAATTTCCTTACCATATAGAACTCGAGGGTGCTTGGGATCAATTGAAAGCTAAAATGACATACCTAATCAAAATATCATACCAGTTTCTATGCTTAGGTCACTTCTGGAGGTCATCCCTGCATTGATCTAAAACTGTGGTCCCAACGAATGAGAGCAGAAAACTATGGAACAGATACTAGGTTAACCAGTCAGCTTCTGCCCACCTTGAACTTATGCGCTGCAAAGCAATGTAAAAACGGACAGCTATAAGGAACATTGGTAGGCTTAACAGTCAATAACTGATCCGAAAATAATTTTTCCATATGGAAAACGAAGCATTAAAGCTGAAAATGCTGTTCTTACTTTCTTCTCTTGTGATAGTTATGTTTTGCTCTGCGGCAAAAACTATGAAGCTGAATTACATACTTCTCTGCGTGCAGTAGTCAACTCGATTAAGACACCGTTTCCTCGGGGATGTGTGTATCCAGTTCCTTCTCCTTCGTAGCGTTTCCATGGAAAATGGTATGGTGATTACATGGAAGCTCCCTCTTGTACTGAGGTTATCTCCGATGGCTTTTGTCTAATTTTCCTCAAGACCACGGCCAGGTACATCGCTGTTCCTCTCTGTCAATTGTTTTAGCTCTCACTAACAGCTGACCATCTGTCTGTTAGTTGAAATATTGGCATCGTAAATCCCATATACGGAGGCGGACATCGGTAATATCCTATTGATTACGGCGCATTTTAACATTAGGTGTCTACAACTTCGTAAAGCGGATACTTAAAAGAGCTCTTCAGCAGCGTTTGGAAGACCTAAGCGTCATCTCGCCTAACCTGCATGGTTCTGGAAGGGCCCGCTTCTGCATTTCATACGCACTTTTTGCTAAAGAGAACTGGACGAAATCTTTTAATGCACCCAAGCCTCTGAGTGCTATTTTCATTGCATTCAGCAAGGAGTTTGCTATAATTTCTGAATAAAGGTTTCCTTTTGGACTCTCGTTCATTGGTAGCTACCGGAAAGTTATTTTCTTGATTGCTGATTTCGCAAGAAGAGTTGAAACGTCAGTAAAGTTTAATACATCCCTTTTTATCCGTTCCCATGAACCGTGGAGTGTCACAAGGTTTTGCCCTTAGATCCGGAACTATCCAAAATATTCTTCAATGCCCTTCCGACTGCGCTTTAACAGATTGTTTAATCGAGAACGATGAGTTAAAGCTATTCTTGGAGGCTAAGGATCTCGATAATGCTGGCAGATCGCAGGTGGCACTTAACATACTGTATAAACGGTTAGCCCTTGTAACTTACATATAGACTGCGAAAAGCGCTCTGTTCACCCGTTTGACGCCGCTGAACAAATAAGCACCTAACACATCCGTGAGTCTTTAGTCACAAATGACTTTTTAGCAAAGGATGGTGGTGTCCTCTTGTCTTTATATCATTGAAGAAAGTCGGTAAAGCCAACAGAATGTTGGTATATAAGGTTGCCAGCCTCCCAGATGACTTCAGATATGTTCAGATTTGTGTTGGTCACCCATGTACAAATCCTCCTCGAGTATTGTTTGCTAGAAAGTTACCTACACTAAGTTCGAGTGCTACCTGAGTGAAAAGTTGCAGATGCGAGCCTAAAAATCAATCCCCGTGCTTTGAAATTTTATGGTTGTGTTCGATTCCAGAGCAGGCATTTGTTCTCTCTCGGCTGCCATCATCTTCGTGATCTGCTTTACACATAACGCATTCTCACAGGATACTTTGATGATGAGTTTCAAGAAGTCTTCTAGTTCAACAAAGATAGCTTAACACGCAAACACAATTTGAAAATCCTTAAGCAGAGGCTGCTCCACCTCCCTTGAGGGATCACTGCATCCACTCCAGCAGTGAATGACTGGAACAACTTACCGTCGGCTGTAGTCTTTGCCACTATGAAAGCAGTTTTTAAGAAGCTGTTGGATTTACACTTGCTTAATTTTTCTGGAGCTTATTGTTATCCCCGAAACTGTATTCCTTCTTTGAGGAAGACTGTTTCGCTCCAGAACGTTTCGTCCTTACACCGATCGAGAAGTGATGAAGATGATAACGTTTTTCCATCTGCTTTCTACTAGTCACTGCATTCATTGTATTCCTACATTAGCATCAACTGTATCCAACTACCCATGGTATTTTGGGTCGCTTTTGTTTCTGTAAATTTGGCGCACCGTATTAAACACTATGGTGATATATGCTCTTGCAAAATGTTGAGCTAATTATAAAATCAAACATGGAGATTACTTTTGCGCTAATTGTGAATAGCAAGCAACATGTATATCACCATTATTGGAATATTACAACAACAGACAGCCTAACTTTCTTCATTTTGGTACAAATTTATTTGGAGTATATTGCAGCAGTTTCCAAGTAAGATAGTCTGCCAAATGTTGAGCAAAGCACTAGATGTCTACTTCTGCCCGGACTCGTCATAGTTGTATATCGATTAGCGTCATCAAGAGCGGACTCGTAACTTCTGGACAACCACGTTTTGTCCTATTAAGCAACCTATCATGCCAGCAGACCTAGCATCCGTCAGTGGTCCATGATAGCTTTTAAGCAATATGCCATGTAGCATGACATGTACCAAACTATCATGCAAGCTAGGAACGTAGCAGAAAATCAGACTGGCATCCTGAGTTATGGGATCCGTGCTTAACAGCTATGGTATAGGTGGCTTTTTAATAGTTGTTACATCGAATGATTTGATGTTGATATGTACTTGCCTGTAAACTAACTTTACTTTGCCTTAATTGTGACCAAAAGCATACTCTTAAAACTTGTTCCTCTCTAACCAAACTTTGATATATCACCTCGTAAGAACCTGCTTTACGCAACCGTCTATTGTACAGCAGGCATTAGGTATCGATGGAAGCGTTGGAAACGTAAGAATAGCGATTCTGTGAATAAAGGCGAATTTAGAGCACGCATCAGCTTACCGCCTATGTTTTGGGCGTTTTACGAACCACTAGAAAAATAAAGCAAATGTTGTTAATCGATAAAGGTTATTATTTCAGTAAGCATATTTTGTATCCATACAACATGAACTTAGGCTATAGCTGTTAGATGTGGTAGTAGATTATTATTCGTATGACGTGTGATCACCACGGCTGTTGCGCAAGAAACTATTATAGACGCAAACGAAGCATGTTGGAAGCAGATTAAGCAAGATGATTCGACGTTGCAACGCATCAATTTTGCATTAGGTGTACCATATATATACATAAATAGCTTACCATATATATTACAACGCTTAATTGAAACTAGTACTTTCTGTTCTCTTCCCAAATGCTTGCAGTCATTCAACCAGACCGAGTAAATCTATCAAGTCCGCTTACCTTTGCAATCGATTTGCCCAAGCACAGGATTAAAACCAATGTACTTTTGCCAGGAGCTGATTAAATTGCTCAATTCAAACTAATCGGATTTTGCTCCATCAATTGAATGACATTTTGTAATGAAAAGGTTAAGTTTAGGAAGCAGCAACAATATATGTATTGTTATTAGGTGACGCCAATTAGTATGCTGTAGTGCTGATGCACCCGCTGGTGTTTCCACGCGCAATGCCACCAATAATCTCATGAAGCGAATGCAATCATGGTCGCAAGAGTAAAAGACTCTCTGTTGTGTCTACGAGCCTCGTTCAATACTCCACTCTCATGCGTCGTGTTGCTTGGTTACATTTGCATTAATTAGAATAGGTCTTCATAAGTAACTCAAGCTTTGCATTTCTAGGTGTACATATTTGATTCTGATTGGAAAGTTTAAATTCATTTCAACGCGTATCGCTGCCCAGAAATAAAACAACAATTGCAAGGTGCTCTAAGCTCAGTACATTAAGAAACGACACGGTGTTTTGCGCTCCAGTTATAATAACCTAGAAAACTACGGCTTTGACAGCATTAAAGTCGATGTGTTATGTATAGTATGTGTCGCCTTAACTAAATAGCACGTGTGATGAAATCGAGATTACTCTCTTCCTTGCAGCCATAGATAATTAATCGCCAAACTAACAAGGCTGACATTATTATAAACAATGATAGCAAGTTTATTAATTATGTAAGAGCAGTAGGGCAGTTATCACTTAAAATTATTAACGAATCGATGCAGATATTTTATGCTATTTTCGGCGATGTGTTTGTTCAAAGTATTCGAACGAAGGAGTTAAGGAGGAAATGTACTTTTGCCAGAAGTGATGTAAAATGAGGTTATTCAGTGTGTTTTATTATTTACACTATACGTCTGTGGCAAATCGAAGGGATTAGAAGTCTAGCACTAAATTGTACTAAACCTATCAGGCAGCTGTAACTTACTAGACTAAGCAGTGAATATTTTAAGTTTCATTATATCAACAGCCTACTTGTCATTTCTCTATTTCTTTCAATTTCTTAAAAATGGATAACGTTTTCGCAAATTGTTTATGTCTATTATTCCTGTGTAAGAATAATTTGTACCGAAGCGCATGTCAGTCAGTACTGAAATCGGCTAGGTTTTTCAAAGTAGGTTTACAAGGTACCGGAAATATTGCATTGTAAATGGTTTTGATATGTGTAGACAAGCCAAATATTCAAGTGCATAAAATTTTGGAAAAGATGATGAATCGAACAAAATTGGTTTGATTTTACAATTCACACAGTCTCTGTTCAGGGCCAAAGTTTAATTGTTAATCTGAGTAACCATCGAATTTCTTTATTTATCCAGTTACTATCCGCTCACTGGCATGCGGTTGGCATAAAATTTAGAAACGATCCCAAACAGCAAGTCCTGTAATGTAAAGCATCATACTTACCAATCTTCTTGACAGTAAACTTAATGCTTCGCTTTCCATCACCTGATAAAATTAAGTTTGTATAGTTGGAAAATAAGTTCAGCATCTACATTAGCAATTACTTATACTTATTTGGCTCAACTAGATCACAAAATGCGGAATCATAGGTAGTATCACGTGGAAGCATAACCGGAGATTTGAGCCTCGTTTGACAGCTATATATACTAGCCATATGTTGCTGTGGCTTAAGATTACGCGTGTAAGCTGGCAGTAGTCAATGTTGATAGCTTCCGTCAGAATAATTACAAACGCAAAAGTAATAGTCATATTGAATATCAGCCAAGTTCTATTGTTCTTTACTTTCGTATTGTAAGGTTAATCTTATCTGTTTAATCGGCATTTATAATTAATACTGTGGAATAGCAACTGATCATAAAACCGCACTGAAGTTTTGCTATCATCTGTTGTCTGTTTAGGTAATAGGAATAAAGATACATATGAATTCACTCTTTGTGTATACATTCTTATATTTTAAGTGAACTTTACTTGTTATCGTTTGAAAATGTTTTCAGCAAACATATATACAACGTTTTACTGTTATTTTACGTATGGACTATGCGTTGCAGTACGTGACAGTAGCTGCTCGCTTCTGAGTTAGCCTGCCGTGTTGGGACAAAAGGCTGACTATACCCCTTGAGATATGTTAATTTTAGCCTTGAAATTATTTAAGCTAATCGAGACCCATTTGTTAAAATAAGGCATTATTTTTCTTTCATTATTGGACCACTTTGTTGCTGCGTTCTGATGGAATCTAAGTGGTTTGTGCTAGTTACAAAACACGAGTAGCCTGGTATCCCATATTGGATGCGTGTTAACATTGCTGTCTGTCGATAGGACTATGATAATTGGATCTAAACTAGCATTACATTATAATTATTATCCGCACGAAAGTATTTTAAATTCACGCCACTAAAAAGTTCTGCCGATGCTAACTGAATGAACAAACATTAAACATTCCCTTACATGTAAATTTTGTGAAGCTGTGCAAGAGTTCAGCCAGCACGGATGAAGCGATCTACAGTATTTTTATCTTTTCAGTACGTACATCACTTGTAGAAATATATAGGTATAAGCACAGATTACGCATGATAAGCTGAAATGGAAAGATTGAAATCGAGGACCTGCAAAGTTTGTCATGAAAGGATTTCCCCAAATTGACTTATTTTATATTTAAGAGGGTTTGGCCATACGAATAAAAGGCTTGAAAATGTGTTGGTGTCGTAGAAATCTGCCACTTCCTTGCACGCAAACCGTGACATCTTTACAAGGTTAAATCTACTACAAGAAGTATATAAATGAGCAGCAAACCGAATATTACCAAGATTCCTAAAGTTTGCAGCATTTTGTTACGCCGCACAGGCGCAGGTAGGGAACTCTTTATGTAGCGAATGGTACAATACTCACCCAAGCCCAAGTAGTATGCCAATTTATCGTAAACTGCGGAAAAGCAAATGATGGCGTGGAAAATTTCAATGAAAGTGCTGGCACAACTCATCCCACGGATATAAGCACTAAAATAAGTGGTTATGCATTCCGTGCATTGACTCACCTTCTTCGGACTGGCTTCGATCTAATAAATATGTAGAGGAAGAGTGAGTGATTGACTGTGTGCGTAAAGCTACACGCACAAAGTGTACACATTCGAGTTCGCTTATACTTTGGCTAGATAAATTAAGTTATCCAGCAACCTGCCATCCTGAGAGTCCTACGGCTACAATCTCGTCACGTCTGTAACCGGATCCATGGTTCCTTCTATCACATGTACTCAAGTGTTAGACTCGCAACACTCACTCATGCTTCCAATTTCGGTGGTTTTCATCAAGTTCAGGATTGGATCACATATGACATCTATTTGTGTATATATATGTATGTTGTAGTCGTAAATGTACAAGCTAGCTTGCCGGCTCGTACGATGCAACGAATTTGTACTTGCTTTACTCCACTTCCTGAGCCTAATCATGAAGACAGCGACACTAGCAAAATTGCACACGTCAAGGCTCTAATATTACTAACATGAATAAAGAAGAAAAACAACCACTTCTTTATAACTACTTATGCCAATGAACCGGTTGTCGTCTTCCATGTACCGGACATGTAGCGGATACTTCCCAACTAATTTAGGATGCAGGACTGAGAACATTTCAGGGCCATAACACGTCAGTAAATATAAGAACATACGCTGGTGAATAGTTAAAAGTTTACTGAAGTTAATAAAGGTAGAGTGCAGTCGTTACTATGGAGTGTTCACAGGTCATCCATCAGGATGTACGTGAATTGCACACTCACACCAAAGAGCGGTAGATGGTGCGTGATGCGTCAGAAGCTCGATTAACCGAATCACCTAAGCACAGGTTTCTTGATTCCATAAAGCGTCTTGTGGTGCGGTAGTGGATTTATTTACTGATGATTAATAATATTGTAATCCCTTATTTACCTAAGGTTTTCAGACCTGCAAATCTAGGGAATTGTTTTAGTAAGCGGGAGGAGTAAAATGCCTCCTTATATGCACTTTTATATGCGGAATCTAAATAAAAATAGAATCTCAGATTGATAAAATATTAGTAAATGAATTGATACTTAAATGGTCAGTGTACGCAATCAGACATCCAGCGTCAGTACCAGTCTTATCAAATATGGACCCTGACCCAGATTACGTTGACTCAAATTATCTTGGATTTCTCGCTCAAATTTTCTGACTGAGTAAGAACATGTTGCAGGTTTAGCAGCGTTGGTATATATCTTCAGCGTTCTGTGCGAAATTTACAATGGGTTATGGCATAAGAGATACGCAGGCAAACAGCACTTACCTAAACGCAGTCCGTTTATTACAGCTCTGAGCACTGTGAAACAAATAATTAAATAACGTAAATAGAAATTCGAAGATAAATTGAGCTTACAATCACTGAACAGATGGCAAAACTATACTCACATTTTAGTGCGACTCGCGTGTCTGAAAATTACAGTTGCAAGAATTGCACAAATGAGAAAAACCTAACTCAGATAAACAAAATAGATAAACGTTAAAGTACATTTTAATGAATCACAGTTCACCTCTGTACACACTATATCTAGTTAACGCTCAACCGTTCACCCGCACGTGGTCGTGTTTTAATACTCCTTAGGATTGAACGTCAGGTCCAGTGGTTTGGTCTCTAATGGGATTAAATATATATTTATGACTCTAGCTGCTTAAAACTTTATCAAACCAATTTTACCTGTTTTTCGAATCTAAGGTTTTAAGCTTAACCATTTCATATGACAAACTATAACTGCGAAGTTAAATATATTTCTTTTTCTGTAACTCCTACTTACTTTCGAGCAAAATCAATGATGCTGCCTGCAAACATTCATTCTCATCTGAATCTTTCATGTGGCTGCCATAAAATGGCAAAAATGTAGCGCCACCTCACCAGATATTGGCGTAGTTAGATGCGTTAGAGAGAAACTAATTTACATTTAACACCCCAGGGCTGCAGTCCCATCCACCTTTCCTTAGCATCAGATGCATTAGCTTGGTGTGCCAGTGTTGATAGGAGCAACACCAAAATACTTCTATTACGGATACGGTCATTGCGATCAAATGATCGAGGTCTACCTCATAGTAAACCGAGGTCTCGCTAGAGATTACGTGTCGCAATTTAACCGCACAGTGCGTTCTCCAAGCCTGACTTTGAGAGCTTGGGTACGTGTTATACATAAAATATCAACCTCACAGAAAGAGCGTCTAGGCCATCTTGATAAAGTATTATAATTTATTCAACCGAAAGGACATAGGAACAAAGTTTATTACTTTATGAACTTTAACATCATGCATTTTGTGGCAATCCATGAAAATACACTTTATGGAGATTTGCTTGTTTTGGGGGAGTTAACTATACGCAAATTTTCCAGCAAACACAATGACTGAGGACCAAAAAACGAGATTTCCATGATCATGCGCCTTTAATCCGGATTCATAGAGTAAAATGAGAACACGTGACTGAGTTGATGGATGCACTTCGTAGCTTCTCTTCGGCGCTAAGCTGATACTTTTACAATGTCACAAAGAAACAAAAGTAACAAAGGTAAGCCCGTCCCTTCGTCCGAGGTAGCCAGGAGTTTAGCAACCGTTGGTTTAAAAAATAGCTTCTCTTTGAACCCACTTGCTGCAACAGCCTCGAAAGAAGCAGATATGGACAACTGTACATGAAGAGTTAATTATATAGGGAGAACCGACAGGACTTTGAGTATCAAGTGAAGGAACATGTTCCAATGAGAAACGACACAAGAAGCCTGACTAGCTCAGTCTGCATACATACTCCATTGGCAGACACTTATTTACCTCGGTTCACCAGATCGAGGTAAGCAGATTATTCCAGGTTCTGCTGAGGCATCCCGATTCTAGTCCCTTTCCTTTTCCGAGGTTGTTATGATAAGCCGGAGCAAACCGGAGCTTAGTGCTCAAAAGCAGTTATCGTTCGACGTAGGACTGCTCTGTACCTATGGACATCATTTTGTTTTACTTCTTAGTTTTTAAGGTTACGCCAATTTAATGTTGTGCATAAGTTCCGTTTAATTTTATGGCACTTAGAAATAATACAAAATATACGCACTTGCCAAGTACATTTTATAGTGTGCTCCTTAAACTGTTGACGGGAACTAATTGGTTTATAATTTAAAGATGTTTATGGTCTCTGAACAGCCCAAGCAGATGATCCTAAAAGTAAATTTGTTAACTTTAGACTTGTTTGGAGGATTTGTAAATCTTGGGCCTCTATATGAACAGCGAATGGTTTGTTGTAAATTTATCAAAACCAACCTAGTAGTATGGAAAATTATCACCCTGTGGTAAACAAAATCCCGAAAAACTGACTCTCAAGGTACTATTATATATCATATATCTAATAAGCGTTTGCGCGATACAGTTCTGCAGTCTTTAACTAATCCTATACCCCTTATTCAACCAAAAGACATCACTGAGTCATTTTATAGCAACGCAGAATTTTGTGTTACACCGAGGTGGATTACATAGTTTGCTGAGGTCCTACATTTTAACAGCACCATACGCCAGAAAGCATACAATATAGAGAGCAGATGCAAAACTCACCAAATGGCGTTCCAAGTATTACCCAGCTGATTACTGGAATACAATGATAGTGGCGATGCTAACATAATGAGCTAGGATATTTTTGATTATACTGCTATAAGACAACTGCATAAAGTATTTGCATAATGCTTGCGAAAATAACGGACTCACATTTTGCCGCGGTTGTTAGATCTTTAATAGGGGCACATAGGGCAGGATTACTTTGAGTCAGCAAACAAATTCTTATTCTAGACTGAAAGGTGGTCTTTAATATTGATGGGCAATCAATTAATGTTACCTCAACACCACGGCCTTTTACTTTTGGTCTGAAACTTATCTATTATTTCAGACCGAAATGTGACGGTCCTCATAATTACAATGGGAATAAATTTTTATGTAGAACCATTTATCTAATTCCGTTAAGTGCGGTTAAATATCATGTTTAATCAAGTGATCAGCAGAATAGCCCATCTGATCCTGCAATTTTTGAGCAAAAATTAGTATTTTCTACATATTAGTAAACATACAGGTCCATTACAAACAGCATGTGTCCTCTTTGTTTCGGTAAACTCGCAAATCAATGTTGTGTTGAAGCAGCCGTTGTCTTCTGAATGTTATTTTGGTTATTTATTGTAAGGTATGTAATGGAGTGCTGCATCCATTAAAATTGCACTCAACACAAATACTAACATAGTGAATAATCATTATTTTTATGAAACAACTGTTACTCGACAGCTCGCATTAAACGGTTGCAGTCAACATTGGTACAATCTTCAAATAATATTATTTTGGCCCATATAAATATATTACTGGTATTAATTTGAAAAAGACCTCCACATGCATTTTTAGTCAGAATTGACCAATTCGGGTTTTAGGGGTAGGAAATGTTTATGTATTAACAGTGCTGCGTCTCATTCACGCTGACTGCATTGACGTAATCTAAAATTTCATGTCACATGTTTGCCAACACTGCAGTTAGGTGCGAATACCCATGTAGTTAGAACACTTGGCCACAGCGTTATAGGACGATATCAACAAAACTCATATTGCCTGTATCCTTAAACAGCAAGATAAATTAGCGTGTTTTTATCATTTTCCATAATTTTGGTGTCTTGTAACCGACATCTATATAGCGAGATTATTGAACCAAAGTTATTGTAAAGCATTTGTTATAACATATACTACACAGTAGCACACAACTCACCAAGTCCCATTGATCGCACTATCTTGATTATCACTGCAAAACGAAGCATTTTTGAGTACACAAATCTAGGAGCTCAAAAACGTTGGTATCGCATCCACAGATTCCATTTAAAACTTCATTAATATAAATAGAGAAACTTACGTTCCGCAGTCATCGGAGAGGCTAAAATAGGTTTGCATAGAGGTCAGTTATTTGACTCAAGTGCGTTTAATAACCAATCGTACAAAACACAAGCGTATAAACTGGACAAAATAAGGCCGTAAGTGAAAATTTTCATATGAATTTTAGTAAGAAATTGCTGCAGCAAGCTTCGAAGGAAGAAAATTTAATATGTATATTACAATGGTGTCACACTCTAATGCCACATATTATTTAAATGATCAAGCTAGTAAAGCTAGACAATGTTTCCGGCTTCATTTCTTTTGGTTTAGCTGCATTCCTTGTAACAAATGGCGTAAAATACGCAAATTATTTTACTTCTGACTAAGCAACACGCTGTGTTACTGATGAGACATCTACGCTCGAATGATTGCGAGAAATGGGCTCGTAATAAAAGTATTAGTTTGTCATTGCGAAGTGACATCAGACGTACAAAGTAAAGGTTGCCGGTTGAGTATAAAGCAGTAGCATGATCCGCAAGTAGTAACAGTGAGCCACCTAATACTCCATCGACATTGTTTAGGAAATACAGACACTCGGTCGTCGCACATCCACAAAGACACGAAATGACAACTGTGGCACATATGAATCTAGTAATGCTTTGCATTTAACTGAACTTCTTTTAGCTTTGAAGCCTTAGTTTGGAAATGTGCATGAACAGTTCTTCACATTGAATCATGAATGTCAGTTTCGTTTTAGATAACCCACTGTAAGATGACGTATCATCTTCAACACCTTCCACATCTGTGCTGTGATGCTGCGCCAGTTCATTGCTGAAGCATATCATAACATACGCTTAATGTTGCGACTAAATGTCGTAAGATATACTGCATGCTAAAGGATCTACCCGTAAACTAAAGCAGAATAAATGTAGCTAATAGAATGTCGGTGCGCTAATGACAAGAACTGCAACAGCATGCTTTCAAGTAAGATCAATTTTAGCCCTAAATTGGAGCACTCACTGAGTTTCGCGTCGTTTATCACCTTGAAGATTACTATAAGAGGAAATCAAAGTGCCAGGGTGAAAGATTTGTGGATTGAGAAACTTTAGTGTTGCTGATATTTTAGCTCTTGTACATATATCAAAAGCAACAAAATTATGAACTTACAATTAGCAGCCTCATGAGTATCTTAATGTTGAAAAATAAATTAACAAAATAGACAATTCAGAGAAATGAAAAATACCAGTGTGTGTGTTTATTGAATTCGATGATTGGAACATATGCAAACGTAATTAGGAAAACAAGAATGTACCATGCGTTGCGTTATATTGTTTAGCAGGCACTAAACAGTGTTTTGCTCAAGCCATATGGGTAAACATATCTCACATTGTTCCAGTAGGTAAATTTACCTCAGGAATCTTTCGCTTATAATAACAGCATAACTATAGCATTTACATGAATCCGTTCATCGACCTGAAATATCAAGTGTTTAAGTAATGTTCTACTGTTAACTTGGATACATTAACAACCAGAACAACATTTGGCAAATGGTTTAATTCGGTTCTTAGATTGTCAGCTGGAAAATTTAACTGATAACAGATAGTTTGGATGTAGTGCTGTAGTCATTTCGGTCCCAAAACCTTAATAGATATGACGTGTAAAGCAATTCAATAACTAGAAACCCAGTCAATATTCACAAGAAGATCCCTACACCGCAGCGTTGTCACTGTCGATCATTCGAACCGGATTTACCAGCCTTACACAGTGATCCATCATACGTGGAAATATCTTCTACGGTTAGAGTCTGTGCCATCACTAACCGTTTTCACAGACATCCGTGATTAAGCGCAAGCGGTTAACTCAATCACATTGAGCCGATTGCATTTCTGTGTGACACCATTCGATACAGAATGCTGTTGGCAGACCGAAAAGCCTAAGATTATTCCGATCTAGCGTTTCTCAACACAGCTGTGAAAGAATTTTGAACTCTCAATCTGCGTTCAGCGCTGTCCAGATTCAGTTGGCACGTTCCCGTCACGCCATTCCTTTTGACCTTCTCTGCCAGTGCGCGACCACAGCGACCGCTCATTTGTCCTTGCAACCACCACGCTCGACCTACCGATATGCGCCGCACTCAAACCTGAAAAGTACAGAGCGCTAACCAATCCAGTGCGTCAGGTAAGGACACTAGGTTGAATGGCAGGAATGCGAATCCGAAAAGGCTCCAAGCGGAAGGCATTTGCGGGTTAAGCGAATGTCATCCAGTAGTTAAAATGGGTCTGGCTTGCTCGCATTGCTTGAAATGGTATCATACGAAATGTGCAAAAGTGCCTCAGCAACAGGTACCAGAGCGAAATAGCTCCCAACATGCACTTGGTTCTGTACTGCGTGCCCCACCATGGCACTCGTTAATTGCTTGCGTATCCTAGCTAAGAAGTGCGACCGGTTAACCGCAGAAGCGGAGCAGAGGATAATCGATGAGATTACTTCAATGGAAGCGAGTATGCGCCACGGAAGCGTAGCGGCTTCTGAACAACAGAATGCTGCACAATCCGATTCCCTTGAACCGCATCAGTCACTTCCCCATCTTTGTTTTCTGCTCCAAATTTGGTGGAACGTCAGGCGAATACAGACTGTACCTAGGAGAGCAAAACAGTACTCACAACTACGAAAATCAAGCACAACTCGAAAGGTCTGGTTATTAAATTTCCACTAAACCTGACAAGTTGCATCAACTTGGATGAAGCAGCCGAACACCTACTCTCAGGACCTGTAGTTCAAATGTCTCTTGTCCTGACAATGCCTCCGGAACATCGGTTACATATGTAGAGATTGCTGTTAAGGTCCGCCGGTTGGCCGCCGTTGCGGTCTCTTCTGTTGTAAACACCATTACCAGCAATAGAGAGACAAACAGCAAATAACCAACACTTGTCAGCAGGTCAGGATAAACGAGTACCATACCTTATGGATCAACAAAGAGGAGATCCAATAATAGTGCCCGGACGGTTGTATACTCAAATGTCCCTGAATCTACCGCCAGCACATTGCGGGATAAGTTAATGGACAACCAAGACCAATGGAACACATCGTACGTGCTGATGAGTGTCAAAGCCAAGCCCATAAACCTATTACGAATTACTCGTCGTCCGAACTCACCACACTATGTAGAACCCAGACTTATTTGAGTAAAACTTGAATCTTCAACCGACGTAGAAAAGGTTTTGCTCTCCGCAGGCGCGCTAAAACACGGATCCTGTGCGATACACATCTATCATTACGCCCCTTGGAGCGCACAACAATCAAAAAGCAACACCGAAGAGGGGCACAGAAAGCAAGACTGCCTAAGCACATCCTACCAAAGAAGTTTAAGAGACCGGAAAACATGATTTAGAACAACAGCGGCTCATTTATGAAACTCTTTCTTTGCAGAGCTATCGCTCACTAGGATACCTCTCTCACCAAATTATAGAGGATGCGGCCCTAGAATCCTAAAATTTGTGGTGCAGTCAGTTACAAACCCTGGAGTTTCTGAGTCAATTGCGAAGAAATCGGAAATTTCTTCCTTCTGAACTTCAGTTTAGGGTTGCAGAAGCTTTGCAAAGTTCAAATATCAAAGCACATTAAGCAGCAAGCAAACCGACGAATGTACAGAAGCGTAACTTGCCTGATGCATTAGCTGACTCTGACGTAGGTCTAAACGAATGTTGGGACAAACCTTGCCGAATAAAGTTGCAAACAAGGAAACCTTACCCCATCAAAAAATGAGTAGTTGCCGACATTCCATCGGTCGGCCTTCTCCCACACTTGAACCCTTTACCCCTCTGTTTGCTCCTAGATACCTAGAAACTGGTCTGCTTGTATCCGGATGCTCATGGACTTTTTAATAAACTGGCTGAACTGAAAGATTGCCAAGCTTCCGGGTCATATGATGTCATATCACCGAGACGTGGTTGCACAAGGGAATGACGTACGCCAAAGTTTCGCTACCTGGCATGTCGCTGATACGGAATGACATGCTTACAAAAGAAGAAGGGGTAATCCTGTATCACCAAAGCGACTTACACTGCGAAACCTTGGAGGATTCAGACTCTAGTTCCCCGACTCTCTTTGGGGCCGCTTGTAGTTAAAACTCAGGTACGGTTGACTTATTGTCTTGGCCTACCGTCTCCCTAACTCTATACGCGAAAACGACTACCACCTAGAGGCTGCTTTAAGATGCAGTTTGCAAAAATGTATACTCACATACTTATCATGTTTGGTTTTGATGTACATTGTGTAGAAACACTTGCCATGATCGAATAAAAATTCAGAGTCAATCTACAAGTTCTCGTAACCAGTATTTCCCTTTTACAATCATAGCACTTTGCCCACTCGGTTCAGAACAGGCAACAGGCCATTTGTGCTGGATTTTTTACTTACCAACGAGGAGCATATGATTTATGTGTTGGGTTTAGATTGCCCGTTGGGTCGCAGTGATCGCGCCGTGATCAGTTTCTACTTTGTCTGCTAAGCGGAATATTGGAATGAGAACGATGAGATTGTGTGAACCATCAAAAGCTACGACCGAGTAGCCCAGCTAGTCTGCAGCACAACTTGGTCGTTCCTTGATGACGAAACCCCTGACGACACCTGACTCGAGTTCGTCAATCAATTCAGTCAGCTGATTACAGAGGATTCAGCGATAAGAGTTTGCAATAAGTGTACATCCGTTTACTACGTTAGGAGCTCGAGAACAGGTAACAGTACGCAACACAACATGGCGAGTGTACAGAGAAGCTCCATCACCATAAACTTGGGAAACTATTTGCGCCAACGTAACCACTACACTCAAACGCTACAAGCAGTCAAAGCCGCTTATCAACAGAAGATCGCACAAAATTTTAGTACTAACCACAAACTCCTGCAAAAGCAAGTCAGTAGCCTACGAAAAGCAAGCCAAGGATTTCCTCCACTCGGGACGGGCGATGGCTCCACAAGAGCAGCTGTGGAAGCAGCAAACGCGCTGCGGACGCAATATACCTTCACGTTTAAAAGTTTCTTGGCACCAAGAGATTTGCCAACCTTTGTCGTCTCGCCAGGACTAACCCACATCACTTTAACCGCGGAAGATGTATTACAAAAGCTGAGGTCTCTACGCCTTGTGTTGCCACCATTCGTCCAGAGACAATAGAAGCAGCAGCAAGTGAACTGGCTGGACTTTAGCTCATTTTTCCCAACGCTGCTTTGACCAGAATCAAGTTGCCGCTATGTGGAAGCTTGAAGCAATAACTCCGATTCACAAAGGTGGAAGCAGAACTGATCCCTTCAAATTCTGCCCAGTATCCCTTCTTCCTATGCTCTACAAGTGCATGGAATCTATATTTGCCGATGTACTGGTGTGTTATCTGAAAAACTGTAATAGCATCACGCCTGAGCAGCACGGTTTCCATCGACAGCGGTCATGTACAGTGAATTTACTAATCGCACGCCGTAGTCGGACCGAGGCAGATGACGTTGGAGAATACGTTGATGTGATCTACCTGGATTTTCCAAGGCTTTTGATCGTCTAGATATTCGGATACTAATCTCCAAGCTCCAGCATTACAGGATGGGCGACCCCATTTTAAGCTGGATGGCTAACTTCCTAGTTCCACGGCAATTAGTGGTCAGAGTTTAGAGCACTTTACCGGACCCTACACAAGTCGCGTTTTCTGTGTCGCAAAGCTCAGTTCTAAGTCCACATTTGCTTTTGGTGTTTATTAACGACCATGCACAGGGAAACCTTTTCAAACTTTCTAATGTTTGCCTACGATATCAAGATCTGGCGCAGGAACCAGATAAACGCCGACCAACATGTGCTTCAGAGTGACCTAGATACGGCGTATCAATGGTCAGCCCAAAACTTACTGCATTTCAACGTCAGTAAATACGAGGTACTTTCCATCCGACATCAGGACAGCTACTCATACCGGCTCGGAACGAATGTACTACAACACTCAACTCTCGAACGTGACTTGGGTGTTCTGTTTCAAGATGAATTGGGTTGCTCCAGGCAATCCGAAAAGGCCTCGAAGACCGGGAACCAACATGTGGGGTTGTTGAGGCGGGCGTTTGGACAAATAAACAGCTCCAAATTTCGACAAATGCTCAGTGCGTATGTTCGCCCCCATGTCGAGTACTCAATCCAAGCTTGGCATTTATGGCTGAAACACGACCTTAATGAACTGGAACAGCCCCAACGTCGGGCATCTAAGAACGTAATTGGAATTAGCAATCTTTCACATCAAGAGGGGATGCAACATTTGGGGTATTCATTGGAAGCTATCGCAGAGTACGAGGCGACCTGATTACGGCATACTTGATTCCGCGAGACCCACATCATGTGTGCCGCGTTTATCTGGGACTCACCAACAATGCAAACCTGAGGGAACACACACTGGGACTTGCTCTACAGTATAGCCTCCTGGAGTGCCGCAGAAATTTCTTTGCCATTCGTGTCTGTCACCCGTGGAATGCTCTCCCAGAATCGGCTGTTTCTGCACCGACACGAAAAGTATCTAAAAACGGTTGGATGATGTACTCATCCACTTGCATTTTGTCACTTAGCAATAGGTCTCCATCCTACACCTGGATTTTACCATGGAATTATTTCATATTAACTGCGGGTGCCGTGAATCTAAGCGGAATGCAGGACTATGGCGGATGAAACAATAAGTCTTTATTTGCATATTCTGAGTACTAACTGTTTTACTGTCTTTATTATCATTATTGTTATATCGATATACCCATCAACTATCAAAGAAGACTTCTAAAGCAACGATTTTTAACAAGTATAAATTCATTGTTCGTTGTTCAATATGTTAAAATTATATTTTTGGGACAGCCCACGTTCGGCTGTTTGATTTCGAAATTTTTCTTCTTGATATAGGTGCCTATTTTGGAAACTTAGCAAATTCATGTGTTGAACCGAATGCTTGTGAGGGATTAAAATGTTAGAATCACACGCCTGTATACGTTACCGTTCAGATGGTCTCTTGCCTCTTACTTTTGTGTGCTGCCACCATAATGATTTTAACACAGGAATTAGCGATCATCTAGATTTAAAGAGCGATGTGGCTACTGTGAGTTTTGCCAAGTTTGTGCGTATATATGATGAACAAAGGAGATAAATAGAAATAATATATGATCTCAAAAATTTCTGCGTTAAATGGTTCAATAATATGGCACACAGCAAATCATCGGTTAGTACCACAACAACGAGTATAATTTAAATTTCTCTCCTAAGAAAAATCTTATGTTTCATGTGTGTCTTCCTTACGAACTTTGACAGTGAGTCCACTAACCTTCTGTTCAAAGCAAAGCACTCAGTTGCATGTCGATATTATTCAATGCACTACTCGTAACATAGCAAATACTGAGGTTGAATTATCAGGTTGACTGCGTAAACAGAATATGGACATAGCCGCTAAGGCAGAGGTGTACATTTTGGTCCGTTTAGCAGTTCTCAAGCATAAGCTAAGCTTTAACTAAATATATCCATGGGTTCTGCTATCTGTTAAGCAATCAAAATGGTAGTCAAGGACAAACAAATGGATACAATGAAAGTGACAGCAGATTGTATATTAGCGGACATCAGCCTCGTCATTTTCCTATTCGCTAGGGCCCAACCTTACTTTTGAGTTGAAAACTAAGAAACAGATGCAGCATAGAAAGGAGACCTTCTTATGTTGCGCAGCACTTAGATGACAAAACAACTTGAGGATTGGGCAGTTGGTGATTGGACCTATTGGTATAATCAGTGCATATAGTCATATATGTTCATTTCTTTACTAACAGCAAAACGCGCTGTATCGTGCGCATTACTCACCAAGCTTTGCATCGAGTATAATTTTTAAGATAACTGCAACAGGACAGAAATTGCGAAAATTATTTGCGCGTTGACTAGCACATTTAAACGATTTGGACTCGTTGCCCTCCGGATTATTTATTAGCATCTTATTAGACTTACGCTGTGATGTCCTATTCGAATCTTGAATAACATAAAAATGTAGCGGGTTAGGCATTGACCAATATTAATGGGGCATGCATTGCAGTTTAGTCTACTGGAAGCAGCGATTGTGTGTTGCCTTTAGGTAACCTTACGTATACCGTAGCCGCTGCGTTGATTTCATCAGCACAGTGGACTCTAAGTCAATATGTTTTGAGACAGCTTCAGTACTGCGTTACACAAGCAATGATCTTCAAACCAAGTACTACAACTAGTTAGTGGTATGGTATAACAAAATCTTATTATTTGATCATCTATTCCGTAACGAAAATCAAGCAGTTACGCAAAAAGTAAGCTTATCTACACGAAAAATGCTATTTGAATTGCTGGCAATGAAAACCTACCAAACTAATTTCTTACTGAAATTCATACTATGGGTTACATGCTAGTTTGATTAATACGTTGAACGTTCTTGGCGAGGAAAAACTAATATAGCATAAAAACAAGCAGACACGTATTACTATTAGCACTTGGTGGCTTTTCACTGAGATAACGATGTCAAAACATCACGAAAGTTAGCATTAACTTAGCAATAAATGACGAAATTTGGTCATTTGTTTTGCTGCGCGCGTTACATCGTTATTTGCTTGCAGTTAGATCGAATATTAATACAAGGTGGTTAACAATATGGTGCTTCGTTTTGCGATCGGTAATACACTTTAAAAAAGACGAAAGCAACGATTTAGTGTCTTAAAAATTTTTCTTTTTAACAATCGCGAACATAGATGTAGAATCAATGTTGGAGATAAGAAATCTAATCTATAGTTTGTCCTGGCAAACGAAACGAAATGCTGGTTATGCACATTATAAACATACCGAAAGCCTTTCCTTTTATATCGTGGGTGATCGCTGTAAATTAAAACAAAAAATATAAATTTGTGCACATACGTATTGTATTGTAACAACTTCACACAGTTGCTGTTTATTGGTTGGGGTACATTAATGTAAACTTTACAATAACTTACTGTCCGCAGCCTTGTGTGCATCTGGGTTGTATAATTATCGGGTATAAAACGACAGGAATTAGTTAGCTTAATAATAGCATCTGTGGGGCTATATATTTTTTTGATTATTCTTCTGCAGTAAAACCGACACATCGATCGCATGAATTCTCAAACCAAAAATATCCCGAAAGTTCTTGAGGTAATAATAAATGCAAATGCCACGACGAAAAACGAGCTCACACTTGAAACCAGTCAACAATTGATAACCATAAATGTGCTTTTGATTCAACTCATTGGTTTGGTAATAATCGTCTACTGCACCCATGTATTCGTGCTCCTAGATTTCACTGTGAAACGACACCGAAAGTCCATTTACATGCAATGGAGTTTGATAACACGCGTAGATACTCGCATACTAATTTACCACTAGATGATGCTGTAGTCTTTAAAATTAAACTGGCCGTAAATAGGCATGAACAAGTGGACACCACTTTGCTTTGTTACAAGGTACCCTCAAAAATAAGTATGGTTAAGGATGTTGTAATGGAGGTGTTATATTTAACTCTTCTACGCTTTAGTTACCGCTTATTTTGTGGCTAGCGCCTGTTTACATGCTTACCAGTTCCGCAAGACCGAACTTGTTGCGGTTTAGTTGTGGAACCATAAGAGACAATCTTGTAATACCCTCTGGCAGCACTTAGATGGATCGCTTCACAAGAAAAACCATTAAAAATACACAAACTATGGTATAAACGCTTCACAGGTCTAGGATGTTTCATGGACATTTTCTGCACAAGTTCTTATTGTCACATATTTTAGACATATAAAGTATACTCAGTTTCTTATTTTGAGGTGCAATGGAAGAAGGTGAAAATGATCGTGACAACCATTTTTTCTAAATGAGCATTACATGAGGAACTGCCGCCAATACCCGCTGAAGCTTACAAAGTTAATGCAATAAATTCCTGTGTTATCGATAGATGCGCAAAATAATCTTGTGATTGCTTAACCTTAATCTCTGTAACTAACTCAGATGATGATTTGCACAATGTCAAATTTAGAAGAAGCACGGTTTTATTTGGCGCATCAAATGCACAATCCAAATAGGGCGTGAGTTAACTAAGTCGATGCGCTATTGCCAAGCTCTTATTAAGTTGACTGCTTTAAGATTTATCTACTTAATAAATACTGGAGGTTCTACCTCATAGTTCCATCCGGCCCAATGAAACTGTTTAAGTGGAAATATCTACGAACAAAATTAAAGCTTGTGTATGCATCAAGCAAATAATTTGTTTAAAAAAAGACTATAAGATTCGTTGAAATTTGCAAAATGAGGCCACGGTTGTCGCACCACCGTACCACCACATCATGAATTGCTAGCAATCTTTAAACTGCTTTTGTGAATTTACGCAGTAAGTTAACTTGAAAGACGTAAGCACAAATATATACACATCTTACAAGGAAAGGTCGCGGTTAAATTCTTGCTTGCACTAAGTTATTTACCGTGTAACAAATGCCCACAATTTGGGAAGTAGCATTCTCTTGCTAAAGGCGCTGGTTATAAACCGTTTTAAATGACCCTACACATAAAGCCAATGCAAAAAATGCCTAATTGTTAAATTATTTATACAATTATGTTAACTACACTAGCGTTCGAAATATTCCATTTTTTGGAAGTGTGCGTCTATTATTGACCAACATACTATGTTTTGCATAAAGATGCTAGTAAAGTAAAATGCCGTACAAAAGGTTAGCAGCAGCTTTTCCATCAAATTGGTCATTAGACCTTAGTCTTTCATAAAGAGATCCTATTCCAGCATTATTTGCAATGTGTCATCATTAAGGTAAATATTTTTCCTACTATCCAAAATGTATGGAGGCTGGCAATAATGCCTACTTTTAGATATCAACAGAGACATTGCTAATTAGAATTTTATGTCTTTATTTTGAAATTCCAAAATATTTTATTTTAATATAAGCCATTAGACACAGTTCAGAATGGTATAAGCTTAGCCTCGGACTTACGGATTTGCATGTCTTTCTTAACTTTAAAGCCTCATCGTTCCTGATATTCACACATGAAGTCAGCAGAATTACTACGGTCCTAGCTCAAAGATTTTCAATTGACCTTCGCATTAGGACCGGTGAAACATAACTGCAACACATGCTTATTCTTTGAAAAATGTAAGGTACATTTAACTACAATTTTGAGAGCCTTTCTACGATATAAGGCGGCCAGTTGAGCGACACTCACCGTAAGGTATTCTCGATGCAAACCTTCTGATTACTAGGAATGCGAAAAAAATCATTAAGTATACGGTGGCAACTCTAACAAACTCGTTAACAAAATGCTTTTTTTGAAAACGATACATTAATTACGCCAGATTATTTGACTCACATTCGTCCCCAGATTTTGGGTCTGTAGAATGCGCGAATAAATAAAGTTTAATACTGCAAGTTCATAGCTGTTGTATATGAAAAGTTAAGCGTATCCCAACTAGTGCTATTAGTAACTACAATAGAGTATAAACAACCGCATTGAAATATTCGTATGTAGTTTATATTAAGTTAGTTAATATGAACGTATATGTATATTGATACAATGTATATGTAATACAGGTTATCTTATTATTATGAAACCCAATCCGTCATCAATATTATTTGGTTCAACAAATTTTTTCTGTTAAAGCCACTATTACATCAGGTACTGGAAGGCAATTTGCACTGCTTGTCAAAATTCATCATGTGTGTAAAGCACCTTTAACACAGTTTTAAACTTCACACCTTTTTGTAAGCCATTTTTATTTGTCCTATCTTTTAAAATGTACAAGGTGGTTGTTGAAGCAGTAATGGACAATATTTTGTACCCTGGTAAATAAATCATTGCAGATGTATTAAATAATACATTAAAGTCTTATCTTGGCTGAGCTTTTTGAAATGATTCGTGGGCTTAAATGCCAATCAGTTTTAATGCGTAAGCTTCTGGTCTACTTAAGTTTTTGACACATCTATGTTTTAATGATGAGCCATATTTTTGATTTATCTTTACCAGGTAAATTAGGCTGATTCGGACCGGTATTAACTATATACATCTCCAACACAGAGCTTACATTTCGTTTAGCCAATTTTTAAAAATGTGATCGTAGTCTATACGCATTGAAGCATGCCTTAATGCAATATTCTCACTGTTGGCGAAAAATGGATCGAATATACACGATGATAGACCAGTGTGGCAGAAATCAACCAATTGTACGACACAATGGTGTCAGCGAGTATGGACAGATAAAGCCAAATGGTAGGTACTTGGTAACCAAAAAACCAATTCGGTATTATGCGAGACAATGCAAATATGGAGATATTTTCGATGAATTTCAGACACCTTAACTTTTTATCCTATGCTGCACTGAAGCCGTTTCTCAAAGTCAAAATGAAGCAATCTAATGGCCGTTCTTTTGAACAACGTATAATACAACGGCTGATTGACATATCAAGCCAACAAGGCTTGTACAAGCGGTGTACCCGTTCTAATCGGGACCACATCGGACTTGGTGCACAGAGTTTTCAATGTAGCAGAGTTCGGGTAGTGGCTGTTAATAAGTCGACACCTGTATTTTAAATACAATTGAAAGAAATTAGTCACAAGCAAGAATGGTAATATTTCTATCATTTATGCTCCTTTTTCGACGAAAATCGAGCTAATTTTAATCATGTACTTGTGAATCAAATAATCGCCATAGGAAACAACAGTATCTCAAGTAACTTCACACCCGACTAAACATATCCAAAAGTTAAGTTTTAATTTTTATCAATGTAAATCTAATGCATTATTGTAAGGAAGTATCTTTTATTCTGGTGGTCCTTACGGGAAGGAAGTTTTATAGTGCATAATAAGGATACAACCAGGTAAGTTCCAAACATTCAAATTTGCTGAACTATTAAACCCAATGTGCTCCATGACCTACCAACCAAAGCCAGCATCAATATAAATTGGGCGTCCTGCCTCATAAACTGATTACTTCAGTGTTAAGAAACCGTGCCTGAGTTTGTTATATTGATTCTTACATTTCAAGCATATGGGCTTTATTAAATCATGTATGAGCAATTCTAAGCACGATGCCTATAGAAAATTAATAAAATACCAGACAATTAAGTTTTAATTAAAATTTCTCCAGTTTATATTGTAAAATAAATCAGTCATAAAGGTTTGCGCTGATGACTTACCGAGTCCAAGTACGAGTATCAACTTGGTAATTACTGTATTGGAAAGTCAATAGTCAGCAACGATGATATTCAAAGGTTATTCCAAATTCATTCGTCAGCATGCTTGGGCATATCAGACTTTACCTTAATGAACTTACACTCTTTCTGCTTTATTGCATCTGTTTTAAGTGATGGCGATGAAGATTCGTTTTGGACGTTTGTAACTGATAACATTATTCGTCGGAAATTGACAGGTGTTATAAAAGACCCATTTTCCTATGTGCTGCAAACAAACGCGTTGCATTAATGTGGATGCTTCTCACTTTGGTAAAAGTTACACTGGCCCTATCTCGTTTCATATATTTTAATTATGTGCTGTTATTCTTTGTGCTTCCGACATATTAGGTGCTGGATAACAAACAACTAAGTAAAGCTTGTATCATTCGGACCAAATGACCTGCAAACGGTTTGTGATGGATCTAGGGTAATCCGACCGAACAGCCACAAAGGGAGGTTTCTTTGCTAATTTTGTGTCAGGCTCGAATAATCTTACTAACCCCATCTTTAGCACAAAATTGTTGTGTCGCTCCGTCGTCTTCGTTCATAATAGTATTAATTATTTAGAACATCCTAGGCAATATTTTGTTGTTATTAGTTCACAGAGTTGTAATTTAACATTTGTAACTGACTGTCAGCTTGAATGCACTCTAGTATTTAGGTTGCGTAAAAATGTAACTTAATGCTCTAATGATGTATAAAACACGTCATACTCCAATGTTAGACATTTGAAAATTACTCACCAAGCTTCAATATCGATATCACTATGACGATTGCTGTGTTTTGAAAGGAAATGAATAGAATAAATGAAATAACACAGCACCATGAGTTTGCTATTCCGTGGATAATTTTGCTTTGTTACGAACGATTTGACTCACTGTCCTGTAACACCATTCCACCTGGATCGATTGAATATATATGCGAATGAGCATTTGCAGGATAAAAGAAACAATACCGGAATTACAAACGCGCAAAGTAATCTGCGGTTGTCAACAACCATTTAATAAATTTCACAAACTTTGAAAGGAAGTCAACTCGGGCTTTATCATAATTTACACTATTTATAATATCGTTTACACATTTGTTTCACATTCAGATGCGAATAATTTTTGTTTCGTTTTGTTTTATACATTGAATCTCAAATGTTATAGTTCCAATGAAATCCAAACTATTCGAAGATTATATTACTTTTATGTATTCAGTGCCTAAACAACATCAAATAAACGATAGTCACTATTATTTTCTTAGATTAAATCCTATTTGCTTATTAACATAATAGATAGTAGCAGATATGTGGGATATATTTCCAATGCTCACTTTTAAGCGCTGTTTTTGCTTAAGTGCCCACTATACTGAGTCTAACTATTAAATACATATTTGAAAGTCGCATCTGTAGCTTTAGTAGAACTTAACTCCTGCGCAAGAGCCAAAATGCTTGTGATGTAAATTATGAAGCACGGTTTTATTGATCAGTCAGACAAAATGTCCTTGTCTAATCTGTCAGATTTTACTTGACAGTACTTTAGTACCTGAGAACGCCTCAGCATGATGACCATATGGAAATCACAAAGCTGGTTTACTGCCACATTTAAGAAGGCCAAACCGTTGTAGTTTTATAATTGTGGATTGCATTTTGTAGGTTGTCACTTCTTTAGCGACCTGCCAGAGAGCCTTCACACCGCAACTAGAAGAAGAACTTCAGCTTATGTCTTCCCGGTAATGTAGTGAAGACTCCTTGGAGGTGCCGTTTGAATAAAGTCAGGCATATACACTTGATATATCAGTTGAAAGACGCTATGGAATTCTCTTCCTTATTGGTAAAACATACAGTAACTGGCACCCATGGTATAACGATCTTAAGTACTTTTTGTGCTCAATTTGCACCAAATCTTGGTCTATCTAACTTGCTGATATTGTGGCAGATAAATTTCATTTCTACTGTTAAATGTGACCACCTACTATGCAGTATTCAACTCAAAATAGTCAGAGAATCAACAGCTTAAAACTACTGAGTAGATTGGTAAAAAAGCTTTGTTCGTCGTACATTAAATATGAAGTACAGCAGTGCGTACAAAATTAAATAATTCAAATGAATACTTGCTGCTTTCTTGCAGTTTACTCATCACTGACACTAGTATTTTGTATGTAATATCCTTTTTGCATACAAATATTTCTGACTATGTTGGTGATACAACCAGGCGAACCCAAATACACCACATCAAATGTTCTACATTTCAAAGGCATAAATATCAGTGAAAACTTCGGCACTTGAACGGGTGCAAACTAAAAACATCAACGGAAAAGGGCGGGTAGGTCACCATGCATCACTCACCTAGTTTCAAATCGAGCAACACTCTGCCGATCACTAGGAAGAGCAGAATGGGTAATGTAGACGTAATCAGCGTACATATTTAATAAATGTCTATTCACGGAGTGACGTTTCACATAATTGTCACGATTAACTCCACTTAAATAACTTACCTGCTGCCAACCCATTTATATCTGGATAGGTGGGACAACAATAAGGTAAATCAGATTAAGTGGGATTGTGTGAGGCAAAATTCAAGCAAGTGCGTTTTTCAGAAAACATCATGCGATATCATTTGAACTTAAATGACACAGGCCTTTCGGTGCACGCTTGATTAGACGCCGCCTACAAATGTGGAATTTTCATGCCACTATAGGGCTTAAATAACACTTTTACTATACGCGGATTAAATAGTTTGACGACAATATTTGATTAATATTTTTTATTAAGACACACAATAGTCAGATCAGTACACTATTGCGAACTTAGCTCAAACTATAAATACCCTAGAAATTTTCCACTTTTTGCGTTATTTTACAGGCAGTTAAAATAATTTGCAGTATTTATGCAATGAATACGAAGGTATTAATTTAATTTATCAATAGTACTAGCTAAAGGATGTACCAAACGTCAGAATTTTAATCCGTATTAGGGAATTTATGCATCTATACCTATCTCTGGATGTGTACACGGTCGATTAGGTAATAAAGACACATATTCAAGTCTTACCATATCTCATTTCAATAGGTTGCAGGGAAAATGCGTTTTGTAGGGGCCACGTAAATTACTCAGCAAGTAGTCTCACCATATCGTTCAGGAACTTTTGAGTTTGTCAGACGGTTAATCAATGACAGTTAAGGAAATTGGGAAATTATTGAATATACTTGGTGCGAAATTGAACCTTATCTGATGTATCAATCAGTAGGAAGAAAATTAACCACTTTTTATAAATTTGTATATGTTTTACTACGCACGTTGCATATAGACTAATTAAGCTCTGAAGTTTTATGTTTATGAGGCCGATGAAATTGGATATGTGGAAATAGGAAGCTACTACTAAATCCTTATAAAAGTTAACTAAAAAGGCCATTGTGAATAAACATTGACATGCTTGCTACAGCTAGATTTAGCTTTTGTTGTGACAACTAATGATGTATGACCGTTTCAGAACTTGTCTACTCATAGGGCCGTTCTCCATAAAAGACTTCGAAAGTTAATTTACCTGTTATTTTCAGCTTGCATAAAAACGAATTTATTACTTTAGATCATCAACACAAGATATTTGCCGGGCGCAAAGCATGGCACTACCATATATTAGTTCCCTTGATACACGTACCCATCTTCATGAGAAAGCTTCACACTTAATAGTTCTTGCAGCGGTTATCATACGCTAAGTTGTCAATAGTGTGACAATTGATAATTAGTCCCCTACATCTGTGCCAGCCAGGAACCGGAACAACACGCTATCTTTGTTAAGCAAATACACGTAAATAGCCGGTAATCAGAGACATGATTTATAGTCGCATGCATTGCTTAATTTTATTGAGTGCCTTCGTGTTTAGTTGAAACTTAGTGAACGATTCATGCAGTTATGTGCCCTGTCTGGAAGGAAAGCAAGTTGGAAGGGGCCATAGCTCTAATGCAGGGTCGCTTGGGCTTAACTCACATGCGATTACCCAAGGTTAAAGGCGATCTCACCATTCGTTTAGTGCTTATAAAGTCCACTTCCATAATTGATTCATGCATCCACAATGAATGTGGAATGAGACCTACACGTAACCTAGTCCAAGATAATCCTTTCTCGGGTAATAACATACATCTCGCAATGTTGTCCAACTCATAAAAATCCTTCACTTTATTAAACTCGGTGAGTTTGATAGAAATACTAAGGTATGAAACCATGTGCGCCGTTGGAATAATAAGGATAATCCCTGTTACGGAACATCAGGGTCTATATCGGGTTGGCCTGCATTTATCGCTCATGTGTGGCTTTTAAGGTTTCAAGAGCAGCTTATCCGTTATTAACTCAATGAACGGGATTCCCACCGTTTGCCTTACTATTTCCGCTCAAAGACTGGAACGTAGATTTGGTTCACGAAATATTATTAATTTCAGACTATGCCATTTTTATTCTCTTGCTATTGATACCGACGGTCATTTGTGCAAACAACTATGTCCCTGATGGTAAACTAGTTCTGTTTATTTGGATTGCAATTTTGGACAGAAGTGATAGAGGCATGTAGACCATAGGGCTTAGGCGAACCTAAGCAGGAAAATTTCAGAAGACCATTGAAGCTAAGACATTTAATATGTGCAATAGCATGAGACCATTGCCTTCGAATACCTGTATCTTCCAATACCAGTATCTATAGGCATACATGTTTACAATAAATGTATGCATACTTATTGCCACTTGCAGTAATATGCGTACGTATAGGCATGTATATATGATGCTATCCAACTTCTATGAAAAACAGAAATATTTTTATAATTTTTAACAGCGGAATTACCATAAAACTTGCGACAGAACTTCAGACTTATAATTAAACACATTATTTTTAATTTTTGTCGTGCGGATAAAGTAAGTGCCACCGTGAGTCTATCGCAAACATTAAGGTGTTTAAATTGTTGGAGAGTTGTTAATTCACCACAGCCGATCAAACCTTATATATTTAGTAATACTTTGAGTGGCATTCGGAGCGGAATAAAGTTATGACGATTTCATGTTATCAATAGTTTAGACATTGTATGTAATCCCACTAGACGTAACGCCGTAACTCACCGAGTTTTAAACGGAATACAATATTTCCTATGACTGAAATTGCAATGGAGGTAGTAAATAAGGAATTTGTATCCGAAATCAATGATTACAGTAAGGGTTTATTTCTATTGAATCAATATCTCGACTTACAATCCGCTCTTTTATCCGTGTCTGGTACGGAGGTGGGAGAAAAGGGTGTTGTTGAAATGTAGAAACACCATACATGGTGAATTTTCATATGATTGTTGGGAATAACAAGCTACTCAATCAGAGGACTAACTCAGTAAACCGGTCGCGTATAAGTTACATAGCTGCACATAAAACTCTGATTATTCCATTCATTGCTTTCTATACGTTCATTCACATACATTTCATTCATGCTTTCATTCTATACATTCATTCATTCTTTCCTTCATTCATTCACTATACACCGATAACTTTCGACTACTGCCTTCGTTAAAATGGTCCCAAGGCCGAAACAGCTGTTGAAGGATGAACGACATTTGCACCGAACAAATTGGATGCTTTCACAAATCAAATTCACTACAGCTCATGTGCTTATTTTTACTAAAGAAGTGATGCTTTTGTGCCGAACATACCATGCGAAATTATGTGTTGTTTGGAAACATCGAATAACCCAAGGAACACCATGCATCCATGAAGTGTTCGTTTATAAACACTCACCAAGATTCAGCAAGAGAATTATCCTGACGAGCACTGGAACAAATTGAATGTAAGTAGAGCAAAGAAAAGGAGTATAGAAAATTATTGTTATATTTCTTTCACCACTGTTAGCAGTTGCAATGATTAGCAAAACACATGACTCACTAGCTGGCAGGAGGGTGGCATCTGGAACATGCGAAATCAAGGCAACTGGATGTTCAAGATTAAATCAGGCAGGTTACGTGTACTATGCGAATGCACTTGTTATTGTTGTACAGATTATTCATTTATTTACCCTATTTATTTATTTATCCAATGCAGCAGCAAAAGTGTGATGGATGAATGCTTTTCTTTTTTACCCAGGTCCAATGACGAATTTATCTACGTGCTCGTTAGTAATTAAGTGAGGTAACTGCCACCTAGTGTTACGCAGGTGAGCAAACCTCACTAGACAACATGCAGTATATCTACGAATAAATAGTCACTACACATCAGTGAATAGTTATGGGCTTTATCGAGTATTTGAGAAAATCCGTCGCAGCTAAACTCAACCAGACAGTGCCACGCATTAGCCATGGATTAAATATGCATCAGTTTAATAAGCTGCTGGAAGGTAAGATTAAGATCATAAGTTCTAATCCGGCCGGATTCAACTACACCTGAGAATGGAACGATAGGAAAACCCCTTGGATGTTTCTTCTTGAGCGGATGGTTGAGCCAGGAGATGATAAGGTTATTATAGGTCTTGATGGATCAAAAACAAAAAACTCGAACCACACCTTCGTCAATCAATTACTGCCTAGGTTCCCTGCACTAGCGGTCCCCGCTGTGTAGGTTACATGAAGTAAGAAAGAGATAGAAAGAACATGGAAGCTAAAGTGGAAGGCAAGTGATTTAAATGAAGGAGGCCATTAAAGAGTGAGGTGAATGACAGAATATTAACTCAAATTTGGAAAACAGATATGGTAAGGAGAAGGGTTAAGTTTCGGGTTTCCACCCAAGAGCGTCTGACTGACGCTGGAAGCCCTTAACCGTCGGTTCACTGACTGCCCTTTCTGGAAGCGGTTTCCAGCGCTCTAAAACTCTACGCGATACCCGAGTACCCGCAGTGATCCGGTCGGAACGCGGCTTGTGAAGCTTCATAGGATGACCGCGAAGACAAGGCAACCTAGCCGAGCTAAATAGCCAGCCCAAGTCCAGTGCAACCTTCACTGTTAAAATGCGCTCAGTAAGGATTAGGTCTCTTCGAAACCGTCGGTAGTGCATTGAACACATGCCCAAGCTAACTTGATGCTCGGGGAACGATTGCCCCCGTAACCACTCGAACAATTTGATACCTACTTTCAAAAACCTTTCGAGCTAACTTACGTCTCGAACAAAGCAGTGAGTGAAAGCCTGGACGCAGTATTACAGATGGGGCCGAACGAAAGCTGATAACAGATTTACAAATATGTCCACAGCTAAGAGCTCGAACCAACGTCGTAGTAAACTAAACATGCTGAAAACCTACACGCGACATTCTTTCAGTTGTCACCAGAATGCAAAGACAAGGAATGGAGCCCTTCTAGGTCTACCTGGCTGGAGAAAAGAAGAAGTTTGACCCCACCGAGCGCGTACCACGAAAGTAAGAAAGTTGCTCGTATACGAAGGACGGAACACATAGCCTGATTCCTGGGCAGTAGCCATATAGTATACCAGTCACAGAATCTGCTCAAGGTTTGCTGAATAGCCTCAGAACGCCGATGGAAATTTTTAACATCCCATGGCTTGAGGGCATCACCATACAATAGGAATGATACACCAAGCTACCCAGGGAGATAGTTTACATAGGTGGAGAAAAGCATCGGTCCAAATACCGAGCACTGTGGGACACCGCTAAGGACCAGTTGTCTAAAGGATAAGCTGCGACCCACACGTACACACTGCTCTCCTCCCTTAGAAAATGCAAATACACACTAAAGGACGCGGCCAGAATAACAGCAGGGGCAGTGATTTTGTTATATCCTCATGTGCGGTACCTTATCAATTGTTTTCACCAAGCTGACGAAAAGCACATACATTAGGTGGCCATTATCCACAGCATCTGTCAAGGATTCAAGAGCAACCAACAAATCCGTCAGACAAGAAACCGCTTCCAGAATCCGTGATGTGCGTTACTGAGTAGATTAAACCTATCCAGGTGATAATACTACAAATCTCTCACCAGCTTCTCCAGAAGATCCAGCACGAAGCTAACCGAAAGTCAACTGAAGCTCATTTGTTATCAATGCGGGGTAATTATTTACAATTAATGAGGATTAAATACAATTATTCTCTTAATAAAATTGATCACTGGCATGATATCTTGTGGTTATTTCTGCAGATTTTTTAGTCCCTCGTATTCAAAAGTACGTACATTGTACGTACACAATAATTGTGGCCTCGGTACAGATGACGCCATGCAGGAAACGGAAGTGCTCAACGCAAAGACCAAACCTATGCCCATTAAGATAAAACACTCCATTCAATTGGAGGAGGCCAAATGAAATGCGAATCATTGAGCCGCTCATGCCGATGTACAACATTTGACAATATTCCAGATGAAAACATGACCGATATTTCCTGAACAACTTTGTGTTCATATTTGGTCAAATATTTTTCTGTGATACAAATCCGAAACCCTATATCTAGCTTATAATAAGGCTTCTATCAATGAATTATTGGAGCGGCATTACAATGCGCTAATTTTGCACTGACTTGCGATCTCAAATCGGATTGCGAATTTCATTGAAGTGATCCTTCTTCACCTCGAACAAGGGGAAATTAATTTGTGAAGCAGATGATCATCAGTGTTTCCTCACTCGAATTCTACACCGCACAACAACCTTCCATTTATTCCGGTAGAGACAATAAGCAACAACCACTCCTTTTATCTTCATCTATTGATGCGTTGTTACAAACCCTTTCGCAAGAATAGCATGATTTCTGCAATTAATTCGTATAGTTATAAATTAGGGTCCAGTCATCCGATGACCTAACATATTCAAAATAATCCTTGTATAATCCTTTGCTGTCAGGACAAGAAATATCTCGCTGGAATTTGTTGCAGGAATGTAGGACATATTTTCGTGTATCGGTGCGTATCCTAACTTACCTCTATGCTCAACACCGTGTTAGCTGAGATTTCTCACTTCATGCAATCTGCAAGTTTAATTTCATTAATTTCGTTCCCCAGCGTGTAGATTTCGCATATTTATTTTGCACATGTGCACCAGTTGTACAATGTGGTTGAACTACTAATGTGCAAATATTGCACCACAGTTTGCTGTCCGCTCCCGTAATCTTTGGACGGAACTGTTGCTAGCCATTACGCCAGATATTGTCCCAATCCTTAACCATGTTCGGATTCTAATATCTTTCAAAATAGGTTAAAAAAAGCCTCATGTTCATCTAATATATTTTGCAGTCAATTTATCGCAGCTTGCACATACTGGATAAGCGTCCGTCTACTGTTCCAATCGCGCATGACACTCTAGCTATTTTGTCCATGCGAATTGTGAGCTAGAGAATAGTAACGTCAAGCAGCGACCATTTTGTGGCCATCATGAAACGCTTATCATGTGAGTTCTTATGCCAGATCGAATGATCCATTACGTGAATTCTTGAGTCTGCACTGTCCTTGTGTCCATGATTGCGTCGCTCGCTTCTCTGACTTAGACAGCAACGGCAACCGGGACACAATTATTATCCAGAACGAAGGACAACGGCACTTGCAGCTTATCGAGCCACAACTGAAAATTTCGCATGTGTCGAAGATGCTTGCAAAATTGGTGTCATTTTATCATGGTTGCTGGCAGTAATTACATAGGATAGTGTCTAACGTAGTTAAGATAATCGTAAGAGCTGAGCAGCACATGATCTCAGATTGGTTCTACACTGTTTGTGTGCACCGTTACGTGGACACATGCAATCGCACAGGAATTCGGAAACCCACAAATGGTTAAGGCTTTTTCTATGGGCACTATCGCTTAGGAAGCAGTAATTATAGCGCCGGGAATATTTGCAACCAGATGAACACCAGTAACGTACCGAGTACACAGCCACATTCGATCTACCCATTTACTAACCGGATTTATCTACCTGTGTACACCTTGTTATGTCTGTTCACAAATTTGATTTGTTCAACGCAGTTGAAATTTAATTTCGTCCAAATTGAAAGCGCTAAAATTTCACCAAACGCAGATAAGCTTTATGTCATCAGAGCATTTGCACAACCGCTTCCGTAAAACAGATAAACCGTTTCTTACGAATCGATTAATTTTACCGCCGTCTAATTGCAAACATCGCATGCTTGTTAGCTTCATTTGCAAACCTGATGGTTGGTGATCCGAAACAGTTCCAATTCACTCCCACTACTTCACGAAATATCCTTGATATCAAATCCTCTCTGCCGAATGAAGATGCTTTTCTGTAAGCAATTGCATGATCCATTTTCCTTGAATTCCCGTGTACCGATTGCTCTCGTCGAAGCTGTTTTCAGCTTAGCTTCCATATATTACTACAATCCCAATCGCAAACTGTCACTTTTAAGTAAACGCTCGAGTCGCTGACTACACTGTGCTCTGTGCATACTTACATTGTGCGACGTAATAAGAGTTTCAGCATTTCGGTGGACAGACTCGGAGGAACACCATTTGCCGACTGCTCGGCGTCAATACCAAACCACCCAGGATGTGGCCCATTATGAGGCACGTCGACTTCGCACACTTCCATGAAGCATGCCACTTTCTTTTGCGATAACTTGGCAGGCAACGTTGTGGCGGTTGTTTTGACAAAAGTATTTTGTCAGAATTGCTCAATTAGGGGTTTACACGAATGAATTTCTTCTGGATATTAAAATATGAGGAATCAGGAACCGAGACGAAGTACACAAACGAACGAACGATATATATAATAATGCTCAGGGAATTCTAGCAACCATTTATCAAAAAGCACATAGGCGTCGCTGTGGCATGCAGAGCAGCTGCTCGGTTTTATCCAACTAGGTCTAAGGAGAGCCCTCTTTTGTTATGTTTCTTATGTGTTATGTGACCTTGTGGTGATGCAACTTGCAGTAATACCCAAACACGTGTTTGTGCAAATAATCGCAAAGCGGAAAATCTGACGATACTCCGCTGGTCAGCGTTATGCCTCAAAGGATTAAAAGTCCGAACTTTGATAACCAAAAGGCAAAACCTAACCAGGGTGAAATAGCTAATGCAAAACGAACCAGTTTTCCTGCGGAATATGAAAGGCTCCTCCAACTTTGTGTGTAGACATTGAGTATTAATGCTTAATAAAAATGTGACTTATTTATCGGTGTAGCATACACCTCCCAGTAAAATGATTGGATGGGCCGTATCTCCTATTCACAAAAATATATATTATGTACCGATCTTAGTAAATGCACCTAAGCTTGCATATGACACAACGCGTCATGCGTATGCAAAATCAGGGCATTTTCATGGCATCCCAACATGAACAGGGATAGTGACAATTTTATCCGCGTATCAATATCATGAAGAATTACACTAGTATGTGAACCAATATGTGCATGAATTTTTATTTCACTGATTTTGCTTCTGGATACATTTTTAAGGGTAGCCCTTAGCAATTAACGTGTTGGTAATTAGTTCCAGTTCATCGGCTAGACAATCGAAGTGCATGTATTTACCGAACTTCATCTTCCAATTACGATTTTCAAGTAACTAAAGGCAACTAACTGTTTTAAACATTCCGCAACACCCACGAGTAGAACTCTTTGCTGCGACATGCTAGTACGTCACTACACACAAAATACAACGAAGTAATTCTGGCAGTAGAATGCACAATTGACAGAATCGGTGCAGGAGTAACAGTTCCACCAGAATGTTGTGATACATAATTTCGCAGTATCGTGTAAACGACCGCCAAACTTCCCGTGTATAATGCAACGTGTGGACACGCCACCGAGCATACTGTGCGTCTGTGTCGCACTACTCACCTATGTTCAGTCCGTTGACAATCCGGATGACCACTGTGGAAACGAAAATGACCATCGGATAAATGATGAGTTGCAATTGATATGACAGAGAGTTGAAAAGGCATGACAAACGCAGTTGAAATGGATGAACTCACAGTCCACGGTCGTTGTCGTGTCTGACATTTGTGCAGCAAGTACGACAGGATGAGTATCAGTGGACCACATGCATGACGAATACAATTTGGTGGGAAGCAGCAGAGTTTAGAGGATTATCTGAGCAATTTGCCACACGTGCAATTTTTGTTCACACATATAGAACTGAGGTAGTGCACTAATTTATAACATGTAAGTGACCAGGATGCAATGAGATGCAATAAACAAGGACAAATTCTATATTGCTATATTATACACTATTCACCGGTTGGTGTGCGAATATCAAGCCTCAAGCTATTGCACGGATTCAAATTTGAACCTAGAGAAGTGAGTTGTTAGGCAGCTGTGCATTTGTCCATCTAATACAAGAAGAGGGGCTTTTTATGTACATACAGTCTTATTTGTTCTTTCATATAACCGATTCAACTTACGAAATGAAGCAAATGTATATGAATTCCAGGCTGAGTGTTTAATATTCTTTAGCAATTCCCAGACCGTGACTCAGAGAGACAGAACATGGAACATTGCTTATATTCTGCTGTAAATCTCTCAAACCTTGCATTCCGTAAGTGTGAGGACGAAGGGATATGGAAATCAGTCTGTCGCGACACATGAGTAATTTATGCAGCGCGTCAAGCTTTCAACAAGATTTCGTACTTGCAGCAGCAATCACATCGGCGCCACCTAATGAACCCCGTCTCCGTGTGTGTGTCATGCGCAGAGATTGCATACTTCGCACCACTACGCCTGCTACACATCCAACGGCGAATATATAGCACCCATAATTTCGTCTCTCATCCACTGTCCGTCTGCATAACTTACTTGAAATTTAACGCAAAACGAACGTAGTTAACACATGGAAATCTTTCACTGAACAAGCAAAACAAACGCGAATGTTGCATGAAATGCAATAGCTTGACGAAAATTATTCCATGAATCTAATATTTCCCATTGCAATGAAACTATCGCACACAGGCTTCCCATATATCATCCGTGCCGGCATATGTTGTGAGTTCATGTTTCTGAGGTCATACTTATACGGTTCTCGTAGCGGCATACACCGTGATGATTCAAACCAAGAGGCAAAAATTATACCACAGGGCGATTGATTATCGTTCAATGGGTATTTAGCATATGTGACGCAGCCGCTTCAATAAAATGGAGGCGCGTAATAAATATAGAGCTATTTTCATCAGCGCCTATATTGATTCTTTGGCTTTTTATTATTGCATAAGGATTTATTATCTTCCTCGTCACAACATAATCTTCTGGTTCGTTCGAACATTTCGTTGAGGTATAATGCGTTTTAGTTATGTGAATTAAGGCACCTGAGCCAGTCGTGCTTATTAACCTATATTCAGGCATTTTCCCCTATTTTGCCAACGATAGCAATGGATCACGTGCAATGCTGGTCTGCAGAAAAGCAAATATTCCCATTTTCTTAATATGATTCAAATACAGGAATCATATTAGGGTAAAGAATTCTTTTCGGTAATAGCTCATCAGACCCAAACGAGTGCATTACACTGTTTGTGGGAATAGCATCAATTCAGGTTGGGATTTGATTTCTGGGATATGTGAATTATATGAATCAATAACATGAGGCTGGGATACAGATGATAAACCAAGTGAACTAACAAAACATGCATCCACAAACTTGAGTATTCCGAAGTATTTAAGTAGGTAAGGCAACAACCAAATAAGTAAGTAACAGTCGTTGACCTGTTCAATGAGTGTGATCAGTACTCATGCTCCTGTGTGCACAATATGTGGGTCCCACCACAAGGCGCCTATCTCGGAGGATTCGTGAGCACATCCCGGCGAAATGAGATCCTCCGACAGCTCAATCATGTCCCACTTACTTGAATGTGGCCATAAATCTTCTAAGAATGACTTCAAAGTCATCTACTCACTACCTGCACACTTCTCTCAACGATTCCGTAAACAGCTCTTATCCATTGCGGAGGCTATCTACATTTACCAAATGAAACCGGAATTATATGTGCAATAATGATTTCTACGATCCATAATCCTACCTTGGCCAACTGACACTGTTACTCAATTATTTGGCTTTTATCCCTATTTACATTCTTTGGACGACTGAGCCTTTTGTGTAAATGTTCAATAAGTGCCCATAGTTTACCAACTGGATCTCTGTCTAAATTTATCGAATAAGAGAATTCAAGCGGCACAGAATTCATTCCCAGCCCGAGCTGACGATTTCCCCACAATCAGTGTTATGTAGACGTTTAAGTCTGACGAGATTTTACCTCACAGAAGTGTTAACCCTGAAGTAACTTCTCAACGACATCACTCCTTTCACGCATATGATTGTAAATTGCTGAAAATGCCCTACATCGTGCACGTCAAGTTCAATCTGGCTAGGCTTGACTAGCTTTGTTCGCGCAAAACTATCACCAGTTTCTTGCATATCTGCGAACAAGCATGCAGCTTCTTGCAATTTGCGTCATTTGCACCATCAAAACACGACGAGAAATGAATTCTGACAAATGACGAATCATTGCGAGACACAGCCCAGCAGTAATTTCAGCTGCTATTGAGCTGTGCAACCTGTTATTTTGTGTATTTGCGGCACATATCATGACGTAATGTTTTGTTATTTAAATGCCATTGAGATGAAGCACAAAAATTCAGCCACTTTTGGTTCCGCACTGAGTGTTTGGAGGTCCTGTTTTTGATATACATATTAACCTATGTTCAGAAATTTGATACACATTGAAGATGTTCGAGGAAACAACGTTTTCTGGCTCCTGCACTTCGGGTTTATTGCCATTAGGGCCTGGCACATAACGCAACACATTTGAACATATTCGCCAAACCACAGGTGCGGTAAAACTGCGGCAAACAACCCAGTCCCACTTTCGGGGGTGATTCACAAAATAGCCCGTTCGATATTGCAGGAGAACATATCTCGGCAGCATGCGATTCCGACACACGTGATAACACCGGCTGCCGTTGTAAGCTTGAATACGTACACGTGTCCGTCGGCGCAAAATGCTCTCAAACGCGGGCAACACACCACCAAATTTCAAAACCCACTCAAACAAAAACATTTAACTTCTAGATGAACCGACGAGAAGGTGACAATCGGATGTCCCGGGTTCCTGCATTTAACGCCATCTCCACAATTGTTAAACCGATGAACCAACAGAAACAGTGGGATTCCATAGGCGTCCTAGATCAACTGGCTAGTATGGTCCGCATTCTGAGGCACCCAAACACGACACACTACGGAAAACCAGCGTAGATAAGTTTGAGGTTGCACTCAGCTATGGACACCGAGGTGGCTCTTTCGTCGCCCAACCGCTTTCAAAATGACTCATTGGACATTCGATCATAAGTCTGTGTTTATAAGCAAATCAAAAGGGTATGGCCCAATGTTGATGAAAGTGATGCTCCAGTCCACAAATATGGCGCAAATTGCACTTGAAACTTTCCGTAAGTTGTGTAAGATGTTCCGCTCACATCTGACAAACAAAGTGTTCAACACCAAACCCCTGAGTACCGAGAGAGAGCAAATTCTCCGGCGTGTCACAGTAGCTTTAGTACGTCTTATATGCAGGGGGACACAATCAACTCTTGAGGCGATATCGGCTAGAACTTCATCCTCTGACCAATCTACTAGCAAATATGAAGCGGCGAAAAGTCCAATGTCAGCATTTCACAAATAAGCAATTAGATGCCGAGAACCCAAGGGTGGGTTAAACCTCGGATTTAAAATCTGCACCACAATATACACTTCAACACGCGAAACACTCGCCTGTATATCCAATAATGCTCAGAGCCTCTTTAACAAATTAGCAGAGCTGTACTTTCTCCAAACCACGTTGTCTATGGACCTGATGATATTAACTGAATCATGGCTGAATGACGAAATCACGCAGGCGAATATTGCTCCACCTGGCATGTCTATCCTACGTAGCGAACAACCTAGTAGCGAAGGTGACGTAAGTTTACACTTCCGCTTTGATCTGCATTGCCAAGTCTTTGACCACCCGAAGATTCAAGCTGTGCACTCACTTGATTGCCACTCGCAACCAAGATGCGGTGATACATATTAAGTTGCCCTTGCCTACCGCGCTCCAGTGTCCACTCTGGAAAGGTACATCCGTCTATCTTCTGCACCATAACCCTATTGGCGCAGTCTAACTCACACATTCGCATTGTAAGTAAAGATACGTTTGCAAGCACTTGATGTTCCGGCTTCACATGAAGAGCAGTTTAATGTTGAACTACAAGAATTCGTCACAGGTCTAGGACTCCACAACCCATCGGATCCAAAAGGGAACAAGCCGGCAATTTTGGACGTCATCTTTACAAATGTGGAAGTTTTGTCGAGACGGTGACAGTGAGTGCCCACTGGGTCGCAGTGCTCATGCAACACTGTTTTTCCGCTTCGTCTGTTACGCTGAACATTCAAACAGCGAAGTCGATGAGGTCCGCATATTAACCCATCGCAACATTGTATTCGACCTCAGCAAAATCACTGATTGGTCGCTACTAGCGAAATAACCCCCGGTGTCTCTTGGGTAATGTTTGTCAGTATCAAACTTTAATCACGAATGCAACGAAGACTAAGAAATCAGCTTAACAATAACTCTTCCAGATAAGCAGAACCCGGAAACGAATGATCATGAGTGCTTCCCTTTGGAAAGCACAACAATAAGATTCAAACGCCGGAAAATGGGATGACTGCATAAATGTACAATGCAATTGTGTCAAACTGTGAGGCGGAGATTAATTGAAACGCCAAGAATATTTGGTGGAGTAGTTCCGCTGTAAACTTAAGCTTCACTACATGCCTGTTAAAAACCCTTCGCAAAATACAACATGGTGCCCTTCTTTCATACACCGTTCGTGGGCAAGCGCAAACTCCCCAGAATGCATGGAATGCTCTTAAATGCCAGTTTGTTTGCATTTCACAGAACGCATCGCTATCTCATATCATTAACACACATATGACATCAACACCAGGATATAGACACAGATTCTTCAGAGCTCCGGATGTGCCGTATCGGCTGATGTCCCTACATAGTAACAGTTCATCTGGTCCAGAGTGCGTACAAGACAAATCGTTGATAATAGCTGTCAAGAGCTTGGCTCAGTCAATAACTCAACTTCTCCAGCAATATCTCGACGATATGCAAGTCGCAACAATCTATGCTCGTGCAATATTTACTACCATATACGAGGGGCAATCGAGCACTGCCCAAACACCTGGAATTTCATAAACTCGCCAATCTTGGGAAGCCACTATGGAGGGCGAAAATATGTGTGAAGGGATTGCTCCAAAGCACGTACAACCTGAGAATAAGGACGATAGGAATGTTAGTGGATAATATAATTTTCTGCAAAATGATCTAATGTTTGTGTTTCAGAATCCCAAGTACTCCAATCACCAGTGGCAAACATCTGGATTCCAAACCTCAACATCTAACTGAGTATCCGCAATTTGAATTTGGCGACACAGTATGGCTGGTAGTAATGCCATCTATTTCGTCATATCTGCATTGCTTCCATTGATTCCAAAATTCCTACATATCATGTGCACTAATGCACGGCAAATGTGATGCAAAATGCAGAACAGATGATGAAGAACTCATTAAGTAACATTGCGTCTTGTTGTTACGGGTGCATGTATCACTCACCAAGATTCATCGAGCCAATCAGTTTGATAATCACTGAGAAAGGAAAATAAGCAGAAGGCAACGGTGTCGTATGTGAATATTTAACACACTGATGTACACGTGCACTGTTACAGTGGCGAAATTTAACGAAATGACTCACAATCGAAGGCCACTTTCGTATCTGCAAATTTATTGCATGAAGCGTGACAGGTTTCCAAGCAGGTGAATCGAAGATAACACATGCAAAGTACACTGTATCAAAACACACTTCAGCGACCGAAACGGTGGCATGAACAATTTGTTACATTTATTGTCCACGGCAGTCCATCTTTCTACATATGACATCCAAATTGTGAATTCGCTTAAGCAATATCGATGCGGCGTGTTTAGTGTGCAACCTACGGATTACAAATAAAACATTACACCTTATAGCGTCCAGGTTGAAGCAAGAAATTACATTGGTGACTCTGCCGTTTATTTAGGCCGCGTTAATCAGCAAGATGTAAATACACGGGAAGAAGCAAGATGTCCACAGCACAGCTGACGAGATGCTGACGTTGGAATCGCTTGGCTCAAAGACCACCTCTGCGGAAAAAATATGCATCCGGCTTATTTTATTGCAGGGGGCCAAAGGAAATGCGAATGATTAGGCCGCTCATGCCAATGTACTCGATTTCACTGATGGCAGCATTCCATATGCGAATACATCATTTGCACCTGAACAAATACAGGTTGAATTTCGGTTAGAATACGCCAGCTTTATTCTCAAAACCTGACAGTCGTTTGCTGGAAGACTATCCGTACTAAGTGTTTCGAGGGTCATTTCGATATACACGAACCCCAGTCAAATGTGTTGCGATATAGCATTTCGGACTGCAATTGAAGTTGTGTTGAACTTTCCTCAAATTCTACCGCATTGTCGTAGTTAATGCTTACGAAACAGGATGCGATATTTGCGCATTAAATCCCCACACTGCGCGACTTGCTTCAAACGAAACTGGGCTAGCTTACTGAGTACACCCGCAGTAAACCCATTTTGGTACATGCTACTTTACTCGGGAACTCAGTGTTCCATTGCGTCTGCCTGAGTAACTATCCCTGCAATTACATACGAATTGATAGAGGCAGTGGGATTTGCCGCCAATAGACTGAGTTGCCTTTAGTGGAGGTAAAGGTAGTTTATGAAGTCGGTCGACGATTACACTACGGAAGCATAGAAAGTGATCTGTGTGGCGAAAATCGGACGTCTTATGGTCCTCGAATAAGCAATATCACCATGAAAGAGCAGCTCTAAGAATAGCATTTTCTTAGGCACAGTAGGTACAGCAACTTTCGTTTCACAAATTTCCCTGTGATTCCGGATACGTTTTCGAGGGTAGCCATTAGTAATCAACGTGTTGGCAATTAGTTCTAGTTTATCTGCTAGACAACGGGTCTAACATATTCGTCCGGCGCGAGTAAACTGGGTCTTCACATGCTTTCTTTTGTGTCGCATCTGCTGATATGCAGACACTGGCCCGATCAATTGGTTTCTTCCATAGACACACGTTTTACCTGTCCGTTCTCCCTGCGGCTGATAAGAACATCCAAATATGGTAGAAGAATCCGTTGTTCGAATTCGCAAGAATCCCTCAAATTAACATGCGAGGAGTTCAAACACACCAATAGCTGCGCTCTCTGCATTTCTGTTAAACTGAATCCCACGATATCGTCCATGTGACGTTTGGAATAAGGGAACTGCGTTATTTCTTCGGATAGTCTTTGTTCTATCAACATCGTGAAGAAATCCGCTAGTATGGGAGACATTAGATACAACAAATTTCAGTTCACGGATTTCGCTGTGATTCCGTATGCATTTTCGTGGGTAGCTATTAGCAAGTAAAGTGTTGGTAATTAGTTCCATTTAACCAGCTACTATCGAAATACAAGCATCTGCCTAACTTCGTCTTCCGATTGTGCTTTCAAATTATTAAACGGAACTGTGTTAGACATACTGCAACAAGCTCTACCAGGGCTCTTTCTTGCGCCATCATAATACATCACTACACACATAAAAATTACGGAGTAATTCTGCAGTAGAATGCACAGTTGACAGAATCGGTGCAACGGTAACAGTACACCAGAATGTTGTGATAACAACTTCGTAGTATGGTGTAAACGACCGTCAAACTCTCCGTGTATAATGTAACGTGTGGACACGCTACCGAGCATACTGTGCGTCTGTGTTGCACTACTCACCTATGTTCAGTCCATTGACAATCCGGATGACCACTGTGGAAACGAAAATGACCATCAGATAAATGGTTAATTGAAATTAATATGACAGTGAGTCGAAAAGGCAAGACAGACGCAGTTGAAATGGATGAACTCACAGTCCACGGTTGTTGTCGTGTCTGACATTTGTGGAGCAAGTGCGGCAGGATGAGTATCAGTGGACCACATGCATGACGAATACACTTTGGTGGGAAGTAGCGGAATTTAGAGAATAATCTGAGCAATTTACTGTACGTGTAATTTTTGTTCACACAAACTGAACTGAGGTGGTGCACTAATTTATAACATGTAGGTGACCATGATGCATTGAGATGTAATAAACGGGGACAAATTCTATATTGCAACGTTATACATTATTCACCAGATTTTGTGCGAATATCAAGCTTCAGCTATTGCACGGATTCAAATTTGCACCTAGCAAACTGTGTTGTTAGGCAGTTGTGCATTTGTCCATCTGATACAAGCAGAGGGGCTTTGTCATGTACATACAGGCATTATCTATTGTTTTATATAATCGATTCAAGTTATGAAATGAAGCAACTGTGTATGAATTCCGGACTGAGTGTTTAATATTCTTTAGCAATTCCCAGACCGTGACTCAGAGAGACTGAACATGGAACATTGCTTCCATTCTGCTGCTGTCATCCTCTCAACACTCGCATTCAATAACAGTGAGGACGAAGAGATGTGGCAAGCAGTCTGACGAAACAAATTTGTACTTCATTGACTCGCGTCAAGCTTTCAGCATGATTTCGTACTTGTAGAAGCAATCACATCGGCGCCACCTAATGAACCCCGTCTCCTGTGTGTGTGATGCGCACAGATTGCATACTTCGCACCACTACGCCTGCTACCCATCCAACAGCGAATATATAGCACCCATAATTTCGTCTCTCATCCACTGTCCATCCTGAGCACTTACTTCTAATTTAACGCGAAACGAACGTAGTTAACACATGGAAATATTTCACTAAACAAGCAAACCAAACGCGAATGTTGCATGAAATGCAATAGCTTGACGAAAATTATTTCATGATTCTAATATTCTCCAAAATTTGCACTCCAGCATTGCAACGAAACCTAAGAACACAGGCTTCCCATATATCATCCGTGTTGACATATGGGGTGAGTGCACGTTTCTGAGGTCATACTTATACGGTTCTCGTAGCGGCATACGCGGTGATGATTCTAACCACGAGGCGCAAACCACACCACAAAGCGATTGGTTATCGGTTAAGCGATATTTAGCATACGTGACGCAGCCGCTCCAATAACATGGAGGCGAGTAATAAATATAGTGTTATTTTCATCAGCGCTTATACTGATTCGTTTGCATCACATGGAAAATAGTTTTAAGTAATGAGTAATGTTTATCAGCTTCCTCGACACAATATTAACTTCTGAATCGCTAGACCATTTCCGAAATTAATAATCATGATAATATGAATAAGCACGTTAATGCGATGATTAACCGATGTGCACAATATGATAGTAAGTTTTAAAATGATTAATATGCTATTGTAGAATGTTCCAAATAAAAGATTATGCAGATCGCCGGTAGATAAAATGGGTTTGGGGATCAGTCCCATCCACGGTTCGCATGTCCGTTCCCGCTAAAATTCCCTCAAACGCGGGCTCCACACAAACCAATTTTCAACACTTACTCCTGCACAAAATTTTGAATTCTAGGTTAACCCAAGAGGCGCCGAAAATCGTGCATCCTTCGCTTCTGTAAATAACGCCATCTCTACATTTCGTAAAGCGTTGAACGACCAAACCATGGGATTCCATAGGCGTCCAAGGATAACCGGCTAGTGTGGTCCGCATTCTAAGTCACCCAAACACGACACACTACGGGAAACAAGCTTTGATGTGTTTGAGATTACACTCAGCTACGGACATTGAGGCGACTATTTCGTTGCCCAACCGCTTTCAGACTGACTCATGCGACATTCGGATTTCCCTACCTCCCTCGGAGTGAAGGCCATCAAAGTAAACAGAACAATGATGACCACCCGCATGGGAACAACCAATAGTCGATCTTTATTCATGGCGTACCGGAGCTTCAAGCATCTCATGACTGTGAAACACAAGCCCATGATAGGGTGGAGTGGGGCACCCCCGTCAAAGCGTCCTCAGTCGTGAACGTGATCGACAAGTCGATCATAAGTCTGTGTTTATAAGCAAATCAAAAGGGTATGGCCCATTGTTGATGAAAGTGGTGCTCCAGTCCACAAATATGGCGCAAATTGCAGTTGGAACTTTGCGTAAGTGGTGTAAGAGGTTTCGCACAGATCTGACAATCAAAGTTTCAACACCAAACCCCTGAGTACCGAGAGAGAGCAAATTCTCCGGCGTGTCACAGTAGCTTTAGTACGTCCTATATGCAGGGGGACACAATCAACTCTTGAGGCGATATCGGCTAGAACTTCATCCTCTGACCAATCTACTAGGTAATATGAAGTGGCGAAAAGACCAATGTCAGCATTTCACAAATAAACAATTAGATGCCGAGTTTACAAGGGTCGGTTAAACCTCGGATTTAAAATCTGCACCACAATATACACTTCAACACGCGAAGCACTCGCCTGTATATCCAATAATGCTCAGAGCCTCTTTAACAAAATAGCAGAGCTGTAATTTCTCCAAACCACGTTGTCTATGGACCTGCTGATATTAACTGAATCATGGCTGAATGGTAGCTTCAAGCATCTGATGACGGTGAAGCACAGGTTCATGATAGGATGCAGTGGGGCGCCCCCCGGCAAAGCGTCCTCAGTCGTGAACATGATCGACTAGTCGACCATAAGTCTGTCCTTATCACAAAATTAATGGGGTATGGCCCAATGTTTATGAAAGTGGTGATCCAGTGCACAAATATGGCGCAAATTGCAGTTGGAACTTTGCGTACGTGGTGTAAGAGGTTTTGCACAAATCTCGCAATCAAAGCCTTCAAATCCAGACCCCAGAGCACCGAGAGACAGCAAGGTCTCCGGCGTGTGACAGTGACTACAGTACGTTATATATGCCTTGGGATACAAGCAACTCTTGAGGCGACATGCGCTAGAACTTCATCCTCTGACCACTTTACTAGCAAATATGAAGCGGCGAAAAGTCCAACGTCAGCATATCACAAATTAGCAATTTGATGCCGAGTTTACAAGGGTCGGTTAAACCTGGGATTTGACATCTGCACCATAATATACACTTCAACACGCGAAACACTCTCCTGTATATCCACTAAGCCTCTGAGCCTCTTTAACAAATTATCAGAGCTGTGATTTCTTCAAGCCACTTTGTCTATGGACCTGATGATAATAAATGAAGCTTGACTGAATGATGAAATCACGCAGGCGAATATCGCTCCACCTGGCACGTCTATCCTACGTAACGAACAACCTAGTAGCGAAGGTGACGTAAGCATTTACTTCGCATTGAAATATTTACTACCATATACGAGTGGCAAACGAGCAGTGCCAAAACACCTAGAACTTCATGAGCTCTCCAATCTTGGGAAGCCACAAATGAGGACGAAAATATATGTGAAGGGATTGGTCCAAATCACATACAAGTTGAGACTAAGGACGCTAGGAATGTTCGTGAATTATATAATTTTCTGCAAAGTGATCTAGTGTTTGTGTTTCAGAAAGCCAAGTATTCCAATAACCACCGCCAACCATCTAGAATCTAAACCTGAACATCTAACTGAGTGGAGACGATTTGAATTTGGCGACAAATTACGGCTGGTAGGAATGCCGTCGGAACTTGACGCGTTTCGTTCATCACAACGCACATTTACCATTTTCGTCATATCTGCATTTCTTCCATTGACTCCAAAATTCCTAAATATCATGTGCACTAATGAACGGCAAATGCGATGGAAACTGCAGTACAGAAGATGGGGAACTCATTAAGTAACATTGCGTCTTGTTGTTACGGGTGCATGTATCACTCACCAAGATTCATCGAGCCAATCAGTTTGATAATCACTGAGAAAGGAAAATAAGCAGAAGGCAACGGTGTCGTATGTGAATATTTAACACACGGATGTACACTTGCACTGTTACATTGGCGAAATTTAACGGAATGACTCACAATCGAAGGCCACCTTCGTATCTGCAAATTTTAGCATGAAGCATGACGGGTTTCCAAGCAGGTGAATTGAAGATATCACATGCAACTCACAAAACTGCGCGACGTGCTTCAAACAAACCTGACCACATCAGCATGAAGTTTGCAAACACCAAGAATTTTCAGCTTCCATCGCTAAGGTTTTCCCTAAATATTCTTTTGAGAAATGTGTGACATCCTCAAACTATTATCATAGTATCCTCTAAACAAACCCAGTAACCCAAATTTTTCCATAGACAAGAAACATTTTTCTAGCTTTTGGTTTAGCGGTTTAGCTAATTTGTGCGCCTTTTCGACTTTAACGACATTGGCCTGTATGCTATTCACAAAGTCGTGTAAAAGGTTCGCGTTCATATTATCCGCGATTCCGGTTAATTTAATGGTGCTCAAGAGCAGTGAGCTTACGCATATATAACGCAGATTCATGGGCTTTACGCTGTACATACTTAAATAATTTACACCTGTAAAAACACAATATGCTCTCCGCTCTTCTAATGTATGAAAGGAGCTGTTGCTGGTGCACTCGGCATCGACTGCCTCAATATGTAACCATGTTCGGATTCTACCCTCATTCCAAATAGCTTGCTGCGGGGTCATGCTCAAATTATACTGTTTGCCGTCGCTTTGTCACGGTTGGCAACTACAACATAACAGTCCGTCCACTGTAGTAACCAAGCATAACGCCCTACCGATTGCTCCATATTGGTTCATAATAAGAAACTGATCGATCTAAAGAGGGTGGTGTTGCAATTTTGTCACTGCAACACACTCGACTCCGCCACACTCGTTGCTGCCACGTGCTATTGCGTTACTACACACAACATACAACGAAGCAATTCTGGCAATAGAATGCACAATTGACCGAATCAGTGCAGCGTAAACAATTCCAATAAAATTCCCCGAAGAATTGTTTCACAGTATGGTGTAAACGACCGACAAACTACCGTCTACTTTTCAAATTGAGAAAACACAACCCATCGACTGTGTTGCAGTACTCACCTATGTTCAGTCCCTTGACATACCGGATGACGACTGTGGATGCAAGAATGACCATAGGATAAATGATGAGTTGCAATTCATATGACAGAGAGTCGAAAAGGCAGGACAAACGCAGTTGAAATGGATGAACTCACAGTCCACGGTCGTTGTCGTGTCTGACATTTGTGGAGCAAGTGCGGCAGCATGAGTATCGGTGGACCACATGCATGAAGAATACAATTTGGTTGGAAATAGCAAACATTTAACGAACGATATTATAAAATTTTCGAACATATACTTGTTTTGTTTACACACATGGAACAGGTGTGGTGCAATCATTCATGGCACAAATGTGATCATGATGACTAACAATCAACGTATGTTGACAAATTTGCTGCACGAGTGAATCGTTATTCTCCGGAGGATGTGCGAAAAGCAAGCACCGAACTAATGCATCGATGCGAATTTGCACCTAGTATAGTGATTTGTTCGTCAACTGTTCAAATTTAGTGCGAATACTAGGCGAGTGTTATATGTATTTGCAAACTGGCTGTCAAACGTGTTTTATATATTGCTTTCAACTTAGAACATGAAGTAAGTCTAAGTGAATTCCTGACGGACAGTTGGAGCTATTTGTACCATTTCCGCTGAGGAAAACGCAACATGAATTATTGTTTCCTCTCTGACATATGGTGCCACACAGCTTGAGCAATCAGCAAGTCAGAACGAAAAAGTTTGGCAAGTAATTTTCCACAAGACAACCTGTAACGAAATGTGGAGTGTCAAATTTCCGCATTCTTCTGTTTGTGCATCAACAATCACATCGGTTCCACCAAGTGGACACCGTCTGTATTTGATGCGAACACATTACATACCTCAAGCCAAGGCGTCTGCAACAACGAGTGCAACAGGTGCGATGGCAATTTTATATAGCACCCATTCTTTCGTCTCTTTTCCACAGCCAATCCTGTTTCTGCTTGTATTTTAACGGGGAAGCTAATGTAGTCAGCGCGTACTGATCGGGCACTAAACAAACAAAACCAACGAGAATGGTGCATGGCAAGCACCAGCTTGACGAGAAGTATTAAAGGAAGCGAATTTTCGCCAAATCTGCACTCGCACAATACAATGCAATTTGCGAACACAGGCTTTGCGTATATCATCCTTCTTCCCAAATGATGTGAGTATATGATCCCTTTGCACACTAGTGATTCTAACCACGCTGATATTAGTTAGCAGTCAAATATATTTAGCTTTCGGAATCGCAGCCGCTTCAATTACCATGGAGGCGCAGGAAAATGCCAGGTCGCAGCATTTTGACATGGACGTTTATCGGTGCGGTCGTTTTACATGGAAAATCACTGTTCCCTCCAATTAGTAAACTTTTGGTTCCTCTCAATAATTGATCTAGCAAACTCTAGACATTACCAGAAAAGAATAACACCAGATAAGCTTTTATAGCTAAAATACGCTGCAGTTTGGAAGCCGATTTGCATGATTCTGTCTCTATTCTGAGTGAAATAACATGGTTTTGCAAAACCGGTTTTGATCAAAAGAATACGATGAATCCCGGTCACCATATCGACTTTTGATTCGTAGTTTGCAACAATATGCAAATCTCGATGAACCTCTCCCGCAATTCGCTGCTTCTCAGTGATTACGCATTCTCGTTTATCCGAATGATGAAATCTGTGCCATTCGTGATTCCGACTCCCATTCATGCAGTTGCGCAAATTTTGTTACCGACATCAATGCATGCATTCATCATACATCATACATGAATGCGTGCAATCCATGCATGTTATTTGAACTGCCGACAACAGGCTAGATCGTGCACGCCAAATGAAATATGGCTTGAATCGACTTGTTTCGGATTGTGTTCCGTGTAAGACTATTTTATTGCAAGTCCCTGAAGAAGCATGCAGCTTCTCAGAAATCGCAACGATCGCACCAACCGCTGGAGTTCTGCCAAATCCGTGTACGGAACTTGCACGGGAGAAATGCGGCACAGAATATGAACTGATCACTATGTAACGCAGAATGCCACATTGCGTCATGTTGTTACGGGTGCATATATGACTCACCAAGATTCATTGCACCAATCAGTTTGATGATCACTGAGAAAAGAAAATAGGCAAAGGGCAACGGTGATGCATGTGAATATTTAACACACTGATGATGTACACTTGCGTTGATTCATTAAAGGAAGTTCACAAATTCGATAGATGGACTCACAGTCGAAGGACACATTCGTATCTGAAAATGTTGCGAATACATGGCAGGTTAACAAGCAAGTGAGAACAGGTTGCATGAAACGAATTTCAACGATTGCTACATGCACTGAATCGAAATATGATTATCAAACCGAAACAGTGCATTTTGTTCCCGTTTCACGAACACTTCAGTTCACATCTCACTACGAATAATTCGCACCGTATCCGCAGCTCATTTGTTATCGGTGCGGGGTACTCAATCAAAATTAGAGGGTATGAAATACAATGTTGCACTTTCAAAAATCGAATACTTGCACGAAATGTCGTGGTTATTTTGTAGTCTATTTAGGCCACGGTATTCGATAATACGTAAATGTTACGTACACAATTGATGTGGCGTCGGTACAGATGACGCCATGCCGGCAATGGAATTGCTCAGATCAAAGTACACACCTGTGCCGATTAAGATACAACACGTGTATTCAATTGGAGGAGGCCAAATGACATGCGAATGATTGCGCCTCACATGACAATGTACACCATTTGACAATATTCCAAATGAAAATATGATCGATATTTCCTGAACAAATTCGAGTTCATATTTGGTCAAATATTTTTCTGTGATACAAATCTGAAATCCTATATCTAGTTTATAATAAGGCTTCTATCAATGAATTATTGCAGAGTCATTTGAATGCGCTAATTTTGTCACTGGTTTGCTGCGTGCGATCTCAAATCGGATTGCGAATGTCATTGAAGTGATCCTTCTTCAACTCGAACAGGGGGAAATTAACTGGTGAAGCAGAGGATCATTCAGTGCTTCCTCACCCAAAATCTACACTGCGCAACGAGCTTCCATTTCTTCAGGTAGAGACACTAAGCAACAACCATTTCTTTTATCTCCATCTATTGATGTGATGTTGTAAATCCTATCGCACGAAACCCGTAATTCCTGCACTTTGTTCGCATAGTTATAAATTAGGACTTAGTCATCTGATGACCTGTCATATTCCAAATAATACTTGTATTACCATTTCTTCTCAGGACAAGAAATATCTCACTGGCATTTGTTGCAGGAGAGTAGCGCATAATTGCGTGTTTCCGTTCGTATCCTCGCTTACATTTATGCCCGGCACCGTTTCAGCTGAGATTTTTGAATTCACGCTTTCTACGATTTTAATTCCAATAATATCGCTCCCCAGCATGTAACATTTCCTATCGTCTCATCAATGCCGATAACAATAATCGGTAATTTTATATAACTGATCATGAATGCAGACATACATACAAACAAACGCGAGAAAAGAAGGGTTCTTTTCCTACTACAAACAGGGCAGCCTGAGGCTGACCGATAATTGTTTTTGAACACAAAGCACTGGCAAAGCCCGATTATTGGCAATAGCCTCGGCAAATCGGATGAGCCGGGAATTAGCATAACTAAGCATGATTCTAAACGCCTTGTTGACCTCAATTCGGTGACCCGATACCAATAAGTACCTGCCGATCGAAGATGCTGGCGGCCTGGGTACACACGTAGTCTGAGTTGGGCTTGTTTGCTGAGTAAGCCTGCATTGAACCCATTTTGGTACATGCTCCTTTATGCAGGAACTCAGTGTTCCATTGGTTCTGCTTATGTATTTGTCCCCGCATTAACATACGAATTGATATACGCAGTGGAATTTGGCGCCAATAGGCTGAGTTGCCTTAAATGGAGGCAAAGGCAGCATATGAACTCGGTCGATGATTACAACTACGGAAGCATAGAAAGTGCTCTGTGTGGCGAATGTCAGACGTCTTATGGTCGTCGAATAAGCAATATCACCATGAAAGAGCAGCTCTAAGGATAACTTTTTCTTAGGCACAGTAGGTACAGCCACCTTCATTCCACGGATGTCGATGTGGTTCCGGATAAATTTTCGATGGTAACCATTATCAAATAACTTGTGGGTAATTTGTTCTAGTTTATCGGCTAGACAACGGGTCTAACATATTCGTCCGGCGCGAGTAAACAGGGTCTTCACATGCCTTCGATTGTGTCTCATCTGCTGATATGCAGATACTGTCCCGAACATTCGGTTTCTTCTGTAGACACATTTTTACCTGTCCGTTCTCCCTGCTTCTTACAGCACCGGGAATATTTGCAACCAGATGAACACCACTAACATACCGAGTACACAGCCACATTCGACCTACTCATTTACTTAACAGATTTATCTCCCCTGTGTACATCTTGTTATGTCTGTTCGCTACTTTGATTTGTTCAACGCAGTTGAAATTTAATTTCGTCCAAATTGAAAGCGCTAAAATTTCACCAAACGCAGATAAGCTTTATGTCATCAGAGCATTTGCACAACCGCTTCCGTAAAACAGATTAACCGTTTCTTACGAATCGATTAATTTTACCGCCGTCTAATTGCAAACATCGCATGCTTGTTAGCTTCATTTGCAAACCTGATGGTTGGTGATCCGAAACAGTTCCAATTCACTCCCACTACTTCACGAAATATCCTTGATATCAAATCCTCTCTGCCGAATGAAGATGCTTTTCTGTAAGCAATTGCATGATCCATTTTCCTTGAATTCCCGTGTACCGATTGCTCTCGTCGGAGTTGATTGCAGCTAAACTTCCATATATTAAAACAATCCCAATCGCAAACTGTCACTTTTAAGTAAACGCTCGAGTCGCTGACTACACTGTGCTCTGTGCATACTTACATTGTGCGACGTAATAAGAGTTTCAGCATTTCGGTAGACAGACTCGGAGGAACACCATTTGCCGACTGCTCGGCGTCCATACCAAACCACCCAGGATGTGGCGCATTATGAGGCACGTCGACTTCGCACAGTTCGATGAAGCAGGTCACTTTCTTTTGCGATAACTTGGCAGGCAACGTTGTGGCGGTTGTTTTGACAAATATATTTTGTCAGAATTGCTCAATTAGGGGTTTACACGAATGAATTTCTTCTGGATATTAAAATATGAGGAATCAGGAACCGAGACGAAGTACACAAACGAACGAATGATATATATAACAATGTTCAGGGAATTCTAGTAACCATTTATCAAAAAGCACATAGGCGTCGCTGTGGCATGCAGTGCAGCTGCTCGGTTTTATCCAACTAGGTCTAAGTAGAGCCCTCTTTTGTTATGTTTCTCATGTGTTATGTGACATTGTGATGCAACTTGCAGTTATGCCCAAACACGTGTTTGTGCAAATGATCGCAAGGCGGCAAGTCTGACGAAACTCCGCTTGTCAATGTTAAGCCTCAATGGATTAAGAGTCCGAACATCGCTAACAGAAACAGCAACAACCAACCAGGGTCAAACGGCTTCTCCAACTCCATATGCAGCCATTGGGTATTAATGCTTAATAAAAATGTGACTTATTCATCGGAGTGGCGTGCACGTCACAGCGAATTGATTGGATGTGCCGTATCTCCTACGCACAAAAGCATTAAGTATGTACCGATCTTAGTAAACGGACTTAAGCTTGCATATGACACAATGCGTCATGCGTATCCAAATTCAAATCACTTTCATGATATTCCAACCTGAACAGGGACCGTGACAAGTTTGTCTGCGTTCATTGCCATGAATAAATCCGCTAGTATTAAATCCAATAGGTACATGAAGTTTCATTTCACGGATTTCGCTGTGCTTCCGGATATATTTGCGAGGGTAGCCATTATCAAATAACTTGTGGGTAATTTGTTCTAGTTCATCGGCTGGACAATCGGTCGAACATATACGTCCGCAGTGACTATACAGGATCTTCATAAGCGTTCGCTTATGCCGCATTGGCGTAAAACTTCCAAATAACAGATACTGTCCAGACCAATTTGTTCTTCGATACACAACCTCCTTTTACCCAATCCGTTCTCCTTGCTGCTGATAAGAATATCCAAATATTGAACACAATTGTGTCGTACGACTACGAAAAAGACCTCAAATGGACATGCGAGAACTTATAACGTGCCACCAGATGTGCGCTCTGCATTTCTGTTAAAATGAACACCACAATATCGTCAACGTAAATTTGTAATAAGGTAAATGCGTTATTTCTTCGGATAGGATTTGCACTATTATCAACATGAAGAAATCCGCTAGTATGCGACGCAATAGGTGCATGAGGTTTCATTTCACGGATTTCGCTGTGCTTCCGGATACATTTTCTTGGGTAGCCATTAGCAATTAACGTGCTGGTTATTAGTTCTAGTTCGTCGGCTAGACAATCGAAATGTGTGCATCTGTCGAACTTCGTCGTCTAATTATGCTTTTCAAATTACTAAATGGAACTAACTGTTGTAAGGATTCAGCAACACTGTCGACTAGATCTCGTTGCTGCGACATGCTAGTACCTCACTTGTGGAATCTCCAAGGCCGTGCTATCGCAGAAAACTGTCCTCCTGCGTTATTCGCCTCCAAATCTTTGGATTTATTCTCGCAGAGACCTATGTGCCGTCATTCGATTTGGCTCCGCGAGCTCCTCCTACCAATGTTCATCTAATAGATCTATCCTTCACGGATCACCAGCAAACTGTGCTCTTGCAACTTCGAAGTCAACCGTATTTGAAGCTTATCGGATGTTTTATTTTTTCTCCGGTCGTATAAGAACTCTTGTAGTCTTATTTTAAAGATCCTTTTGAGAGTCACCCGATCAGCTTACTACCATTCCTTCAAGTCGCTCTACAAAGCGATAGTTGTCAATTTGGAACTTGGAACTGCCATTGTCGTCAGTAGACAGATTTTTCCAGGTCACCTTGCTTTGCCTCAGTCCTACGTCGCATCGCTGTCTACCCTCTAGCTTCCGGATCGATAGCACGCACATCGCCTATCCTCCCTAAAGAACGCGTGACTCATCTGGCGTCGACACGCCTGGACCTGCTTACCTCAAACCAGCGCCGATCGCCACGCAACGGTGCGTCCGTATCTCATTCCTCTTCCCACCCCTACTGAGAACATGTCTCGTATGAGGAGCAAATACGAACCATATGCCAAAGTGGTAAATAGTAGTCTGGTGTGTACCATGTGTTTGAAAAACTATCACACTACCTGCCTTGGGAAGGGATCGACGAAATCAAACACCGCAGAGGGGTC